GAAGGGATTGACGAACATTTTGTAAAACGACAGGCATTTCGCGCACGCTTGCAGCCGCAATGGATAGTCGCGCAACGAGGTCCTCCAATTAGTCAACGGGAGTCTCGTAAATGATGCTCTTCAGATGGCTCCATTAAAAAAAAATCCAAGCTGGATAAATCTGGCGAACGGGATGGCCATCGAACGGGTCAACCACAGCCAATCCATCGGCCCGGAAATGCCCCATCCAAGTAATTGCGGAACCGCACGTGGTTATGAGCTGGTGCACCATCATGCTGGAACCACATACGATCACGAACGACAGCCGGAACATCCTGCAGAAATTCCGGTAGCACCTCTTGCAGAAAAATATAACAACATAAGCCATTTGTACGTGCAAGTAAGAGATATGGGCCTAAGAGGTAGTCGTTAACAATACCCGCCCACACATTCACGGCGATGCGAGTTTGGAATGCATGTGGACGTGTGCCGTGTGGATTATGAGTTGCCCACACGTGCATGTTATGGTTATTGAAGTCATGTGAGAAAGTTGCCTCGTCCGTGAATAGCACATCCGATGGGAAATCCGCTTGCGCGCACACTGCTGCAAGAACAATGACAGAAATGAAACGAAGAGGGAATCTGTCTCTTGCAAGTTGTGTCTCTGCAAATGGATGGGTGCAAACCATTTTCATGCAATACTCTCCAAACGGGAACGACTCAGCAGACGACGTGGAATAGTTCTTATATGCTGAGGTGATTCATGCACATGTTCAAGATGGATCTCATGCGAGGTGTGTGCACTTCTCCACTCCTACGGGGTGTCAGAGGTGACTTCAAATGACCGTTTCACACACAGACCGATGCAACCTCTCGAACATTTTGTGCTTCGGCATACGCCTGTTTGGAAACCGTTCCTGGTACAAATGAAGCGCTGCTCTGCTGTTCCCATTAGCAGCACTATACATGAGATGCATGTCAGCTTTTTTACCTGTGCATAAACTCACCCATCACGCTCGACCTCAGAGTTGCGAATGATCCTCTGATGCATCGGGTCGTGGTTTATCCGGCTCACTACCGCCCTCTACCGCAGCATCGCCAGCCAATCACAGCTGTAGTTCCTATTACTGTTACCTTTTTTGAACATTTATTGTGAATACTGTATTGCTGCAAATGTATTATGTTTAACAATCTGCAATATGTACTGTGTATAATCTATGTCTGCATATCAAATTAAGCTTAATATCTCCATAAAAGTCAGCATTATGTGTGGTATATTAATCAGTATTATATAATCCTAAGTATTGTGTGCCAGTATTGTCCTACGCACAATGCACTATGTATGTAATTTATTTGTATTGCGCATTACGCACCTCCATAAAATATGTATCATGTATAGTATGTATATTAATTAGTTAAGTAATCCCACGCATATGTAACAGTATTGTCCTACGCACAAAGCACTATGTATTGTGTATGTATGCTGTTTATCTGTATTACCTGCATTTTATCTGTATTACCTGCATTATCTGTATTACCTGTAATTTTTTTGTACTATGCATTGTGCATAAACTATGTACTTGCTTAATGCACAACCCTTAACATAAGTAGACCGTACTATATGCATATGAATTTGTTACATATCACTTAAACGCATCCCCTTATTGCATTATACACAGAGCATTATATATATTGAATCTTAATGGTCTCTGTTTATATGTGATAATATGTTTTATTTTTCTCTCTTTGTATTTATATGTTTTTGTGTGTAATTTGTGATTTATGTGTTCCATGTCATATTTTTAATTAATTTTAATGTGCATATTAATGTGTTTTATGTAACTGCTGTTTGTATTATATATATATATATGGATACATATGTATATATATATATTATATAACATTGACTACGTCCCACAAATGTCTTACTCAGTTATGCCCCTATATGGCCATGAACAATGACTCCCGCGCAGCTCCTGGGGCCAGGGATTTTGTCTCTAGATAGTGAGGGCGCGGGACAGACGCCTGTTTACCATATTAAACACAGCTCCCGGCCTCCGTCACCGTACCTGGAGTTGCAAAAAGCACTCTGCGTTGATGTGCAATAAACATTTTTCTGGTCGTTTTTGCTTCCTCCTTAACGCTCACTTAACCTATTTCTAACAAAAAAATGCATGTTTTAGTACGCTCCACCACCCCTCCAAGTTTGTCCCATGATCTATAAAACACCCTGTATACTTTTATTGCAGTAGGTAGTATATTTTAAGAAAAGAAAAATAGGCTTTCAGGTAATGCAGAAATGCATACATGGAAGGTGCATATATACGCTCGTTTTCATTCTCTTCTTTCATGCCGCGTTTTGCAGGAGCATCTACTATTATTATTTTTTATTAAATATCCTCTTCCTTTCAAAAAAGGTATTTGTTGATCTGCAACCTTACCGTAGTAGCAATCAAGATATGTATGTATACATATATTTATTTATCGCTCTATTCCATATTATTTCTGTAGCAGTTTGAAAGAAATGCGCGAGATTTATTAAAACTGTTGCATTGTGCATGAGTACGTTTCCTCTATTTAGCGTAGTTTTAATCAAAGAATCATAAGTCAGAATAACTACAAAATCTTTATTTAACAAGTATGAGAATTCTGCTTAACTTAAGTAGAACACCAATTAAAACAATGTTCACATACATTAAAAATTGAAGTATTGAAAGAATAACTTACATAGAATCCTCATCAGTCCTAAATCATCAGGATTACCTATTTAGACAATAAAAAAGAGAAACTGGATCATACTTTGACACCGTACCTGAAAGAGAAAGCACTAAATTATACCTTTGGCCAGGTACAAGTAACTATAAGGTTGAGAATCGAATGCACCCGACCTTCGCTTTCTCTCGCCAATATATATCTTGACGCACGTTCGCTTTTATGCTTTTGAGTTTCATATGCAAAAATACCTAAATTTATGCTAATAAAAGCTATCATTATTTTATTGAATCATGAATATACCATCAAATACGTTAAAGATTATTTAAGTATGTTGAAAATAAATATATGTGTGATTATTTTGCAGATGGTTGGCAATTCGACTTCAGCTTCTTGGTGCTGTCGTCGTATTCTTTGCAGCTGTATTATCAGTAGCAGAAAGAGGTGTTTTCACAGCAGCCATCGTAGGATTGACACTGTCCTATGCGCTCACAGTAAGTACTTCTTAATCAGAAACTAAAAGAATTCTAATATATTAGCTTTAAGTTACTTAGATATCAGAAAGCCTCTTCTTAGACAATGTCGCATTGGATCTTGGTGATGAAAATCTTGGAGTTGCATATCAAACCCGAATACATTAACATCTATTATTTCTACTTAAAAGATGACAAAACTCACTTTTTGCATCACATGCGTTTGCGTTGAAGCATATAGTCAACTGGAAACTTGTAAAAATTTTATCACTAAACTATTAAATCCCCTCAAAGCTATACGTTCTTAGAATCTTAGGAGACTCAGCTGAGAGTTAAATTAACGTATTAAAGTAATTAAAGTAATAAAGTTCCTGACATTCTGCTAAACAAAATTCGGCATCATACTATTCTTTCGTTTCCCGTGCATTGAAATTTTTTTTCCTGTAAGTCAGCTTCTTGATCAAATTCAGCTATTTAAGAACGATTGCAATAATTTATAGAGGTATCTCACTTGACATCATTGACCAAGCGATTAGAAAATTTTCAGTTCAGCACATGAAAAGACATTCTTTCGCTCTGACTGACTGTAAGAATTTCGCAGTCATTCCATTCTTCTTATGGATTAATTTTAAAATTGTACATATTTTACATGTATTTAACATTCTTGCCATTTTTTTTCCTACTAAAACAATCGTAGTTTGGTATTTAAAGACATGAATTCCTCTGAGGAATTTGTAGTATTCCTTGCCTGTGTAGTCTAATATGTATTGATCAAACAAAAACCTCGAAATGGGCATTAAAGAGCATAAGACTTATGAGCTAAGGTAAAAATTACCTACATTCTTGTTTTTCCAATTTATTTACACAAAAAGAAGCATTGAGCAAGTGTCGCTTTTTTTTTTTCATAGTTTCCCTCTTTTAACATTTTGATGTAGGCTATAGAGACTAACATTTTATATAATGAAGCCATTTAATCAACTATTCAGTCAGGAATGGAACAGAAAATCAAATTGACAGTGTCTGCCATTTCCTACTCCATATTCAGCAGCAAATTTTAAATCTCCACAGTAAAGAGAATTTCTTTTATGCTTATTTAATATAATAAACGCTTGGAATATATATTGTTACGAATTTGTTATTTAAAAAGCTAATGTTAGTTCAATTATAAATTAAATGGTTTTATTTCTCGCGCAGTGCAGCGCGTGACGAATATTAAAAGAAAGCTAAGCAGGAAAATTGAAAAATACAAGAGCGCGTGCATTAAATAAATAAATATCTCTTTTTTGATTTCGAGAAAGTACTGGAAAATTCTAGCGCGTGATTTTAAAAATCTTATAAAAGGAGGAAAACATCTCAGTTTGTAGTAGTTGCTTAGTTTGTTGTTGTTTAGAAAACTGCTCTTGTTGATTGTAGCGAATTCGCGGATTAGCGTTCTTTAGCTGTTTTGAATTACGTTCTATTGGACATTTGAGTAGTTAAAAGATAACTACTGTGAGATATTGTGATACTGCATGATAATTTGAGAAAATTTAAGCATTTCTGTTGTGATAATAATAAATTTTTGTTCATTTTTCATCGGACTTGTGCATTCATTTCATAACGAACCCGTACGCACACAACAATATATTCCCAGTAATCAGGAATGCAGGCGGTCCAGCGATTCTAACTTCCGTATTCCCTTGAACAAGAAGGTTTTCCGGTTGAAAGCGCAACCATTTATGCACCATTTATTCAAACTGAGAAGAGAAGAAAGAAGAGGTATCTATCTGTCTTTGAACGAAGAAGTACGGAGAAAGATCGTATCTGGCCTCAGAAAATGAGTTGGTCTAGAGTTTAAAACTCAACAGCCTACTATGGTTTAACTTTTATTAAAAGGAGAATTGCTGGTGTCTCAACCAAGTGTTCTATAAACTCACACTTGAGACTTTGGAGTAATATCAACTAAATTTTACTTGGAGAGTGTTGCTTATTCACAGTGCATAGTGCATATATTTAAATATTAAGCTACATTGGGTTAAAGCCCATATAGGCTTTATTGGTGTTTAGAGAGCCGGCAGCCTGGCTAAGCAGGCGGTCTCAAATGTCAGTGCAATGATATTGAAGTAACATTTCGAAGAGAATTGCTATCGAGAATGAAAAATTTTACGTTAACAACTGGAAATCAGTGGTGTTCTCTTCCTAAAAGCAAAATTAGGAACTAATAAATCACAAATAAATTAATGTTGAACAATATTAAGTAATCAGGTTTACTAGACATGTCGGTTTCCGTTTCTATTTAACCGATTTAATCTGCAGGAATAAATTATGTCTATCACTTTCCAATTGTTGCCATCAAATATTCGCCCCTGCCCTTATTTAAAAAATTATATGCGATTCATGTATGATGTTGTTTCGCTTGTAAGTACACGATACGTAGAGCACATATTTGATCATAGTCCTCCTCGGCCTTCTTTTGAAGCCGCTGGCCTTGCCTTTTCATTGCCTTGTTTTTTCTCTCTTTCCTCTTTGGCCACTTTAAAACATTTTGCTCCACCCCCTTCCCGCTTTCCCCGGCGTGGAGAATAATAGACACTCAACAAAACACACTATAAACACACAGACAAAATTAGACCCCAGAGAACACAAAAGGGCCCACAATATATTTGAAGAAATTAAATAAGGAAAAATCTATATAAATGTATGTATATTTCTAGTATTTGATAAAACAACGGTACATAGAGTCACGATTTTGAATAACGTAATCCTCCAACGATATGAGCATTGGAAGACCAAAGTTGAAATTTGAAATTGTTTATGATTGTTCCTCTTTTTTAAAACTTTGCTGAATTTTTATTAACAAACTCAAGTTTCAAAGCGCGCATGGCCCTTGTGCCAAAAAACCTTTTTATCCCCAGGAGTGAGTCTCGGCGGAAAACTAAAAGGCTCGTTTTCCAACTTTGCGATACTGTTGCAATGGATCTTGTTAATGCGAGGAACAGATATTTATAAAGAAAGGTAACACAAAATTTAAACAACGCCCTTTGGACGTAATTTAAAATCTGAAACATTTCGAATTTTTTTTTTTTTTTTTAAGTTTTTATTTTACATTATACTTATTTCTTTCAGTTGCACAGTAAAATAAGTATTGCAAGCAAAAAAGTTCGTTAGTATTCAGAGGAATAACTTAAAATTTGATTTATACCCACTGTCCACGATTAACGGTCATCGTTTTCTCTTTCACGCCAACAATTCGTGTCCAACGAATCAATGAAAGGAGGTCGGTGTCTTTTACTATCGAATCTTTTAATAGACTAAAACTTATTCTTAAACTAGGTAAAGAATGCAAAAACATGAGCGTCTTCTTTTATTTTCATAATATCTGGAACGAAAGATACTTATATTTAAAATTATTGCGCTGCATAGGAGACTCGATCTTGATCTTTCTGTCTATACCACTTTATATCTAGTATATAATAATCTTATTGCGTATAAAATGCTGCTAGAGGACCATTCATGCGTAGGCGCAAATAATGACGTAACATACACCCACGTTTAAATCTTAAATTTCAAGTTTACTTTTACTTTATAGCTTGGCATTGATGCACTTTACAGGAAAATGCATTTAATTTAAGGTGATTAACATGTTAAGCGCCAAGGATGTTTCGTCTTCTTAATTTAAGGTGATTAACATGAAATAGAAATTTTTTATGCAAATTTTACCAACTTTGCAAGAAACATTTTTCATTTCCATCTTCATATTTAATATTATCTACCATAATAATTCATATTATCTACCTTTTCCATCTTCATATTTAACTGTGTGCCATAAATGATTTGTTACCGAAGAAAAGAAATCGACTGGACATCACGAAACGGGAAGACCTGAGAATGCGGTTGACTCAATGGTTAGAGTCAACTGCATTCACAGGACTATAAGATCTATGGTGACTACTATAAGATATCTCTGCAGCAAGTATCAAGCATAACAATCTTAAGAAATTTAGAGCACTCTTCAAGAAGTCACCTCACATTGTAACTTGAAATTATTAAATAATCAAATAATTGTTATTTAATAATTAAATATTATAGAAAATCTTTCATTGAAATTATTTTATATTTGAATTTCAGTTCTGTATTATATGTTTTGAAAATTTACGTACTGTTTTTTCTTGAAAACTTTCTAATGAGTTCTTTCTAAAACCCAAGTCCAGCCAAACGAACAAGTTATCATTTAGGCTTCATTCAGCCAATAACTCAATTTTGGAATTTTAAAAACTATGTATATGTTACATTACATAAAGAGCACTGTAATTTTAGAAAGGCTTAGGTGCAGCATGCCATTTTTTAATGACCTCTTTATTTTCACTTTTGCAGCTGGAAACAAAGGCTCTATTTAACTTTCAAAACTCTGAACTTGCAAATTTACTCATGTTGCAGCTATTCTTGTGTTTTATTATTTGTTAATTTGTTAAAATTTAAATCTTCGGTGTTTTCTTTTTGTCACATGTTTCATGCTTTTCTAGATCACAGATAATTTAACCCAGATGGTGAGAAATTTAACCCAATTAGAGAATTGTATGGTATCTGTGGAAAGAATCAACGAATATTGCGAACTTCCCTCAGAAGTAAGTAAGAAAGTATTGAAACGAGGTACATCATAACTGTATTTAAATTCCATAACAACTTATAATCAAACTAATCTACTTTATTTATTTTTTAGGCTTCTTGGAAAACTGAATCTTGCAGCTTATGTTTAGGTAACTGGCCAAGGCAGGGATCTGTTTCTTTCAGAGACTATAAAATGCGTTACAGACCAGGAATGGAGCTTGTGCTGAAAGGAGTTGATGCAGAAATTGCTGCTGGAGAGAAAGTAACAAATTCTTTTAATAATGGTTCAAGAAATACACTCCAATTTGAATTTCAATAATTGGTAAAATTAAAGTTTTGTTAGATTTGAATTTCGAATGCACTTCAAAAGATAAAAAGGCACAGTTTCAATTCTTGCATTCTATACTCAAGGCGACTGAGCTAGTATGAGAAATTATTGTAGCCAATCTCATCAGTTTGTTTCTTTGAATGTGTAACAACAGACTTTAATGCCTTCTATTGAGAAAAACTAGGAAACAAAAATTAGCTAAGTAACAGTCGTAAACATTCGAAATATCTCACTAAGTTTCAACTGTGATATTTTGACGTCTATTCGAATTTTCAGCTATTGATAAAACGCGTATGTTTTGTAAGCAATATTTTATAACTGTCCAAGACCTAAGTATCGGTAAAGCATGCCAGCAACTTCAAACGAGAAAATTATGATTATCTCATTTCCGTATAACTTGCATAAAATATAGAAACTTTAAAATATTCTTGTTTTCGTCTACGTTATTTATTTTTTTTCTCTGAGTGGCCAACGCGCTTTGTTAGTTTTTATGTTTCCTAAGGTTTGTTGAATACAGAATTTCCTTTCTTATATAACATTCCGTTCCAATATTTTTCGGTCCAGAACTTTCATAAGTTGATTATGAAGGTCATATTTTATTTAGATACTGCATGCATGAAATATAAACCTAAATCCATAGGACAATGAAGGTTAGCCAACTCCACAGAACTTAGTACTATCAATAAAAAGTGCACATATATAAAAACATTGAAGCATTTTGGTCATTTTATATTAAAGGCTTCTAAATTCAGTTATGAAGCCAATTTCCTTTTGCAGGTGGGCGTAGTCGGGCGCACAGGAGCAGGGAAGAGTTCTTTGGCCCTCGCTTTATTCCGTATCGTAGAACCGGACTCAGGACGTATCCTTATCGATGGTATCGACATCGGAATTTTGGGACTTCACGATCTGCGTTCGAGGATTACTATTATTCCTCAGGTAACCAGCATTTTCCCACAGGTTTTAAATGTGTATTTTTTAAATATGTCAGTGATTGTTCAAACTACTTTCATCAGAATGCAATTTACGGGTTGTCAAGTTCACGATAAACTGATTGGCCCTTTTTTCCCCTTTTATTTTCCCCCCTACTTGAAAAAAAAAGGCAAATTAATAAATACATAATCCGCAAACTTAGTATTCTGGCCACAATAATTGAAATATTTGTTTCAGGTTCGAGAACTGCATATTAAGAACATTTTTATTTACAGGATCCAATAGTATTCAGTGGTACTTTAAGACTCAACTTGGATCCTCTTCAGCAGCACACAGATAAGGACCTGTGGGCTGCAATTGAACATGCTCATCTGAAGACATTCGTTAATACGTTAGAAGAAGGACTTGAATATCAAGTCTCGGAAGGAGGCGAAAATCTGAGGTATAAATTTTAGTAAGCTAATTTTATCAGAAAAGTAATGTTTTAAATTCTGATGTTCGTAATTACCATGTGACTATCACAGGTAGATATCACACTGCTGTTTCACCTTATGATTCTCCCCCCTGTTTAACATCTAAGGCTTTGTTATCGCTCCATCTTTATGTGGGTAAAAGATAATGTATGTCAAGCTGAGAAAATGGTACAATTAAAACTTAATGTTATTTTTGCCCTTCATATGGGAATGGCAGCAAGGTTTTGCCAGCTTGACAAAAGCAATATGATTACAATACATCTGGATATGAGACGGAAGAACTGTTTACTAAGAGTCAATTTTGAGATGTGGTTTGAGGAGGAGGAAAATTCTATGAACTAAAACTATCAACAAGATATGGTTTGATAATTGTTCATCAACGCTAATCGCATGTGGTAGTAGTAGTAACGGAGGACGTGGGCACCATCCCTTTAGCATTACGGTTGGTCGGTTCTGCCCAAGCCCGCCCTTGTCTAATATTTATTAATAATTCTAAAATTTTTACATTGCCATATATTGTGCATGTGTTATCAGATGATACAAAGACATTTTGCGGTAACTTTAATGATGGTGGTCGAAATGAAATTTCATAGCATGGCATACATTAAACCAATGCCGTCCAACGGTTTTTTCCTTAAGGGCTACTTTTAAATTTCTGCCATGCACCCGATGTTTTATGCTTGAAAAAATAACAATTTCCTGAAAATATATGATTTTACTGGATAATTTTGTATTTCCAAAGGAAAATTAATACGAACCTAAAAAAACTGAAGAAAATCCACTAATAAAACACAACTGTAGTGTAGGTTCAAATTAACTTTCAAATTAGAAAACAAAGAAAACCACATACTAATAAACTAATTACTGATATACAAGAAAATGTAACAGTTAAATTGAACAACAGACAAATATCTCATTAATTGAGAAGTACATTAAGTCATGAACTTGCCATTAAAGAAATATTTCATTATTATTATTCTCTGAGAATTTAGAAAAATTTGACGTTTTTTTCTGATACACAGTGTTTTTCACATGCTTTGGAGTCAACATATTTCTGCACTTGCTTTTTATTGTTTTAAATTCTGAAGAAGCTTGCTGAGAGAAATTACTTTCACTCTTAGTGCACAGCTAAATATTTTTTATATCTAATAAGGTCCCTCAATTTTAAACTTCGTCACTTTTATTTTTTGTGATTTTGAGCGTGTGATCAGTACGAAGAGTAATAATCTCTAATTCAGCTTCCGATTTGTTAATAAAATAAATTTTTTCCATTGACGAAATCACTTTTATTATGTCTAATTCCAAGAAAGGATTTCGTTGTGTACAATAAAATAGGACAATACATGTCTTGGAATCTTCTTTTAAATTCTGAGTGAGACAACAGAACGTTTTAAATCCATGCCTATAATGAGGATAAATTACAGAAATTGTTGATAGATTTTCTTCAATAAGTTATTCTTCCATAAATCGATTTTAACCAGAAAAACAGATATTGAGCTCATCATTTGTGGTAGGTTTTTTTCTTTTTCCTTGCAGCGTGGTATTTAGGTTAATGAGTTTTGCAATGATATCGATTAAAATGCGTTACATTGACAATTATAACCGATCCAAATTTAGGTCATAATTGTCACTGGATATGAGAAAAGTTTTAACCTGTGCATTCTAACAAATCTTGTTAATCTAAAACTTTTCTTGAACTCAGCCACTTAGTACTAAGAACTCAGCCACTTAGAACTCAGTACTAAGATTGAGCTTTTTAAAAGTCAGATTTTTCTTGGTGAATGAGTTATTGGTATGAATTAAATTTGTAAAATGTGTATCCTGTTTACAAAGCCAGTAAACCCAATGTTATTCTTTATCATAGTCGGCGACCATCGGTTGTGATGGAAACGAGATTTTTTTATCGGTACTTTTTTTTCCCCAGTAATACAGTTCTTTTATTACTTCATAGCCCACTAGTTAGCTAGTTCTGAGCACTGGCCTTCAGTCCACCTAGCAGACGTAACCTGCCATATGGCTATGAGGGAACAAGCCAAGCCACAAAGGCATACTTTTTTTTTGGAAGCGCCATTTTTATGAACATCAGAAGCTGCGGTGAGTCTGTAACATCAGTGGATTCATCAAACTACAGGGGAAAATACGCCCTCTTTTCTAAATCACATCTTATGTGTAGGTAGATGTCGTTCGCCATATGGTCTTCCCACTGAGTTTTGTGACCGAGGCACATCTTTTACAGTTAAGATTATTTCATTTTTGTGTTTAAATTCGTGAAATAAAGACTGAAACTGCCAGCGTACCTTCTTCCACAATGGCCTCGTTTGTATATGCCTTTTTATCTGATGCAAGAATGTGATTTACTTTGAAGGATGATTCTGTGTGATTCTTTGCTTCATTTTTAATGTAAAAGGACTGCTTTGTTGAACTTTTAGAGAGGATTCTTTGATTAAACATTACGTTTAAGTAACACGGGAGTAGGTGAACACAAATAATGGAACGTCCTATGTACTTGACGAGTAATTGTATCTTTTCCATGGATGATTTTTACATTTAGAATTAAAGTTTTGGTCTGGTGGCGATATTGTGATTGTGGCTGGCGAACGCTTAAAGATAGGATTGCGGGCTATCAGGCACCCGCGAACCACCGGATGGATACCATGCATTAAACCATGCGAAAACTGTTCCAGCACTACAAGATTTTATGACTATACCCGTTATTCTGAGTTTAAATTTGGTCTTTTGGAGACTATAATAAGAGCATAGAAGCGAGAATGTGGAAAAACTCAATCACCATCTGAATTTCTACCTTTATATACATTGGTCCTTGGTTTTTAATAAATAGATTCAATCGGAGGATTGTAATCCGATAATTTAGAAATTGCAGGGATTCTGAGCTTGCAGTACTAGAAAAAAATATAATGCACTATGGCAAAAACATTTCTGTATATTAATAATATCCAAATCTTGGCGGGCATCAATGTTTCTTGCAAACGTCATTTATATGATTTGTAAAACCTTATTTTGGAAGTTTTCTGTTTTCTTCAATACATCTCGGAGACGTTCACCACACTAGAATGGCATACATAAAAGTTGATCGTATCAGATTTTTCTTTTCACTTACAAGGTCAGATTTGATTTATGTCCGATAAATCTGTGAACAGACATTTAGGCTGCATTTGCATTGATGGGAAGATACGCTAAAGTAAATTTTAAAAAAGGCATAGGCGCCTCAGGCAATCTCATACATTCTTGAGATCATACTCTTTGATACTGCCTCCGTTTTTTAATTACGCTTCAGCAATAACTGTGAGAATTTAATAGATGGTGCTGTTACTTCTCTGGAAGCCAAAATACGTTATTCAAACTGTGCTTCTCACGTGGAACTCTTACGAATATCTTTCCTAGTCTTGAAAGCAAACTTTTCTGTAATTTATTGGGTCTATAATTATTAAGATATTTTGGGTCTTTCTCGTTTAAAGAAAATAAATTATGATAGCATTTCCCCACACTTGTGGAAAATAAGGATATCACGTGTGTTGCATTGATAATATTGACAATATCTATGATGTCTTCTCTCGGGAGTTCTTCGATAACCTTATTTGAAATAAGATACTTTGGTTTTAAAATATGTATGTAGGTTGCTAACAGTTCATAAAATTTCGCTGAACATGTTTCTGCTTAATTGAAAACTTCTCTGCTAACGAGTTTATTGATTTGAATAACAATTTTTTCATCCTCATCATAACTTGTGTTCGGATAAAATGACCATGGGCCCTTTTTTTCTCATGATTTCAGCCATTTTGACTTCTGAGTGGACGAAACTGCTAAGAATTCAAATCGTTTCCATTTATTTATTAACAGTTAAGAAATCCAGTATAATTATTAATTGACACAAGATATAATATGAGAAATCTTGTTAAGTTCATAACTTGCTAATTAGTAGGTCTTTAAGTGGTACAAGAAGCTCGAAATTTATATCAGGAAAATGGTCATAATATTTTAGCTCTGCGATGTACATATAATTTATTATCGTATATAAAGCTTCCGCGTTTGGCCTCAAACTGTAATCAATTATTTACCGTATTATATTATTAAGTAAATCTTACGGTCTCTTCAGCAGTATTAAGTCAATATTAAGTAAATTATATATTTTTAAAGGAATTAACTTACATCTAGATCTTGATATTCTATTAAATTAGTTTTTGCTGTTCATTTCCTAGAAGATAGTCGGCACTAGTAATTAAATTTATATATATGGTGCTTATATAAGTCTAATAACAAATATGAAGTCGATTAATCAGTAAATATCAACTAAGTCAATCAGCAAAAATAAAAAATGACACAAATTGAACTAATATACGCATAGATTCGAAAATTACTTATACAATGTACATACTGTTTTATTGTATTTTACTTTTTTAAAAATCTTTAAAAATTTATATCATACGTATTTCTTACAAACATTTATATAGATTCATTCTGTTAAGTGCATCCAATAGAATAGAATGTGAGATAAAAGATTTATATTTGTTTTAAGTTTTCCAAACTTATATTGTTACACTCACAGCTTCAGTTCATAATAGCAGTGTTTTTAATTTTTGTTTTCTGTAGTGTTGGTCAAAGGCAACAAATATGTTTAGCTCGAGCTCTCCTGAAAAAGACGAAGATATTGGTGTTGGATGAAGCAACAGCTGCAGTGGACTTGGAAACTGATAAGCTTATCCAGAATACAATACGCAGTGAATTCTGGGATTGTACCGTCATCACCATAGCTCACAGACTACATACTGTTTTAGATTATGACAGGTGAGAGTCACGAGTGACAACACATTGAAATTATATGCCGCCATACATTTATACGTAGGTTACAAAAGGTGCAGGGGTGGCCCGAATAAAGCTTAAAAAAAATAATAATAATTTCGAGATTTTGAAATGATTGTTTATAAAGGTTGAAAGAGAAATTATAGAAGGGGTAAAAAAAAGCGAAATTCTAGACATGTTTTCACTAGGATGTAGATATTTTAGGATAAAATCACTCATTTTTTGAAATCTTAGTGAGTAATTTCATTAAGACAAATTCGATCATCGGCATCTTAGCAAAAGACCTATTGCAGAACACAATTCGTTGACCAAGTTCTTTGCTTTATTCCTTCAAATAAAATTTTTCCTTGTCACATGAACTTAAGAACTGCATGCCTTAACACTTACACTGAAATATATTCTCCATAAAGTATCCTCGATTCGATTAAAACATAGCAATCCTATTTATAGAGTGAGCAAATTTTACTGGTAAGTTGGCAATCATAAAAATCTGAAATAATTGATCTCCGTTTGGTTTGGAGCAGTTAAGGTTGAGAGCGGTAATACAGCTGCATTTAATGCGCTTTCGAAAGTTATTAACAGGGTTTTACATTTATTTCTGACTTGGAAAATTTGATTTAGAATGCTAATAGCTTGGACAAGGAGTATAACCTGGCTTGGAAAATCAGTATAATTTATATTTAAGAATCATTACCCTTTTATTTTCACGCATACCACCACCATAAGCATGCACACGCATGTACGGTTCAGATCGATTTATTTACGGAATTACGTGAAAGCGTATTATGAAAACAAGATGGGGGTTTCTATTTGTAATTTTTTTATTTAAGAAAATGATGCATAAATATGGTTAATACATGAATATAATTTGAAATAATGGCAGTGCAAATTGTGAAAATGTCATTTTAACATCAACTGATTTTCTAAATTAAATTTCAGAACTAATGTTCTTTTAGCTGACAGTTCAAGTGTTTGGCAGAGGTGCATAGTTTCTGATCAAACAGTATCTGACAGCCACTTATCCTGGTTAAGGTTTTCATGAACCATAGTTACCGTTCCTTCCTCCCCCCCAGCACTTTCTCGCTAGGTTCTGAAATTTTTAAAAATATTCGCGAATTTCCCCTTTCTCAGTGCTTTTAGAACACGAGCTCCCCTAAGATTTAAAATGGTTTCGTCTAGGTAGAGATTGCTTTCTTGACATTAACAAAGACAAACCCTGGCAAACTGCCTATAGAATCTTTCCCTTCTAATTACTGAAATTTATGTCAGCCTAGTATAAGAACCAACCAATAATTACGAAATAAACTTGAATTAACCCTTCCGCCGTTCTTCTCCTGTCCGCGAAAATTTCTCCCCAGCGGCCCATTGTTTTTCGCAGGGTGTAATGTTGTTTTATCTGTACATACATAACTTTCGTAGTGGATGAATGTAAATGAATATTAAGTATAATTATAAGGAAATAAAGCATAATGAAAAAGTACTCGTAATAATATCTCTGCTTATTTCTAACAGCAGGATTAATTTGATAACATCTGATCCAGGCGGTTCACTCTTCCCATTTTGTTGCTGTAATCTTTTACAATTATTGGTTTTTTTACAGTTCTTTTCCGTGTTTCAACATCAATCATAGAGTTATTATGGACTGTACTCATCAAACGTATATCATTCTTGTCTTTCCAATTCACAACCTCATTTTCTCTCTTTTTCTGCTGACGTTGAAGATCTCTCACTGTCTTGTATATGTAAAATGGCACGAATATTCATAAAACCCTGGAAAAAATTCAATTAGAAATAGAATGCCTGATTAGTACTGCTCTCTAGGTATTATAACAAACAAAAATAAAAACTTAAACAAGTAAACAAGTAAACATTTAGAAAGCGTTTTAAACGTTTAAAAGTTTTAAATGTAGAAGAACGCTTGAAGCGCGTTACGGCCGGCCTGCAGAAGTTTCAGTTGAACGCGCTAGACGCGTTACGGACGACGAAGAGGTTAACATTCAGTCAATGATTTCGCTAAATCACCTGAACATTCACCTTCTCTAATTATATATGGATGATCTGAGACCTAAGGAAACAGATAACAATAAGAATGTGCGAGACTGAAGAAATCTTATTAGATATTGTAATGTTACTATCACTGTGTATTCTTATTGGAGTTTTTTTAGAGAAATAATTTCTCGTAGTTACCTGTAGTTTTTCCATGACCACTTTGCACTTGTCATGTTCTTATTGTAACTGCGTCCCTCGGGAATCGAATTATTCGCATAATTTCCGAGTCTTGATTTTCGGATGATAAAATTAGCCAAAAAAAGTGGGGGAATGCGCGAGGAAATCCGGTATCATGATTCAAAAGAAAAAAAAAAATAGCTAAATTTTTCAATAAACATACTTGATAATTTGGAATAAATTTATTATATCCTACAAATATCGTAAAGATGTCTCCAATATTACTAATAACATTTGAAAAATTAATCTCTAGTGATTTATGGCAAACTCTGCTAACAATCTTCAAATTAAAATTACGAAGATCGACATCGAATTATTAAATAGAAGAAATTTCATTCTGTACATTATTTAAATAATCCTTAATTATATTTATCGACGATTCAGCCTTAGAAATAATAGAACTGAATCGAAAACATTATAACAATCAAAAAGTTCAAATCAATTAAATGCTAGCTCTATCTATCAATAATTACACTGCTGACCATTAAAATTTCAACACCATAAAGGTAAGCAAATGCAAAAAAGATATTTATTGTACGTAACAGTATGGCATGAAGACAAAATTATTAAATTTGTAAGCAGTTTGGGGTTTTACAGGGATGCGAAATTAGTAGAAACAGCTGACAGCTAAAATGGCTTTTACCCGATTAGGCATGGAGTCGAACTGGGCTTGGATGATAGAAACGGGCAATTCATTCCATGTTGCTTCAAGTCTATGCCGCATTTCATCAACTGTATTAGCTGGAGAGGGCTGGCGGGTCAGTTTCTCAGCAACCCATGACCAGATATTTTCAATGGGTGACAGACCTGGAGACCGTGCAGATCAGGGCAGCAATCGAATTTCCTGTGCATCGAGAAAGGTCAGAACACGACGTGCAACATGTGATCTTGCATTATCTTGATGGCATTTGGCAGACATCGAAGATAGAGCATACAGTTGGACGTAAGATGTCAGAAATGTACCGATCTGAGTTCAAATTACCGCCAATCCGAACTAGAGATATGTGTGTCGTATACCCAATAGCTGCCCAAACTATCACACCAGGTGCAGGGCCCCTATGCCGATATCGAATGCAAGCTGGCAACATGCGGACTCTTCGGAGCCTTCAGACACGTATACGGCCATCAGAATATTGCACTCATCTGAAAAGACGACATTTATGCCACTCCTGTATCCAGCTTTGTCTACCTCCCTCAATGCTGCATTGTCAAGGGAAAATGAAGTAATAGTCGCCGTGCGGATAGTCCGTGCTGCTGCAAACATCGACGAACTGTACAAGCGGATACTGAGCGTGCTGCAAAGATGCTGATTTCCTAATTAAGGTCCATGATGTGGTTGTATGGTTTTGCAGAGCTGAGCTCACAATATATCTGACCTGTCGGGTATTACTCATGGGATGCGGCTGAGATACTGCCTGCCATTCAGTATGACCTTCAGCAATCCATTGATTCCATATTCGCATGACAGTGGTTGGATTCGACCAGTGCGGCGGGTAATATCACGCAACGATAATCCACATCCTCAATAGGCAACGATCCTGCCTCTATCGAATTCCACACTTGCTGGTAAGCATTTCTTATTATTATTCGAGGCATAACACAATATTCTGAGGAAACTCCGACCTTACAAAGCGCTTTCAATAAGAAATCCACTACAGAACTCTTCTTTTATGCAGTACTTTAGATGTCGTTTCTCTCTCCTAAGCAGTCTAAACGCACTGAAATACTAATCATTTGCATATCCCAACCTCTTCTTCCTTTCATACGATTTTGATGTTCATTCCTTTCTGGTGTTTCAATTTTAATGGCCAGCAGTGTAAAATAGTTTCCACAAACGATGCCTAAAACTGCACCAGCTAATTCTGTGTGCTTGAAGAAATATGTGATTTAGCAGCATATTAAAAAGTTTCGACTGATTTGCGAGTTCATTAATTAGGGGAATGGAAATTTTGCCACAATGCATGCTTGACAACGATTATGCTTCTAAGATGTGTACTAATCACATTGATAGACTCTGCACTATAATTTGTTACTTATAATAATAACTTCAAGGTTATTTTCAGCCGCCCAACTTGCTTCATAATCATGGGATCGACAAAATGCAGCAAATGTCTTGAGCCTTGTAATATTTTCTTTCACCTCTTTGCAGTTTAATTTATAAAACACGGGGACAAAAAATGTTGAGAACCCCCGTAGAGACTTCGCTGAAATGTTGCAAGAGCACTTTTTTAAACTGAAATTCATTACTTAAAATTCGTACAAACCCAAACTGTTTTACATTTTTGAGAACAGATCAGATATAGTCCCCGCAAAACTAATATGAATAACCTTTTTCGCAACAAGATGCAGTTGGCTTGACCACTGGGAGTTTGATGGATGAATTATTCCTTTGTCAAGCATAATTTCAATTCTTTAGCTATTACTAAATGTTTTGGATCCAGCTGTCGTGTCTTTGAATAGATGGGTTGACCATCAGTCATAATAAAATGTGTAACAGTTAGGTTTAAAAATTTCAGGATATTTCAAAATTAAATCGAAGATATTTATGGATTTATTTAATGTGGTTACGTAGTTATCACTTGAAATAGCAGCGACATCACCTGGATACGAAGTTGTATTACGCCATCAAATTTTTATTATTATTATTATTATTTAGAGCGGTAAGTAAATTACATTCTTGAAGAAAGCCAGCTCCTAAAATAGCTTTGGTGACATCACCAATTGTAAATGGAAACTGAAAATTACAGCGTAATCCCAAATCAAGGTATAGGTTTTTATGCCATTAGCTGCATGTAGTTTGTATTCAGTTTTACATTTATTCTGAGAAGTACCTATAATTATGTTTACGTTAGCTCCGCTGTCCACAAGAAAGCACATTTGATTTTCTGCCATGAGAGAATAAAGGATATTTGAGGCAATTCTTGATATTTTCTGCAGAAGAGTTTTCCTGATTTTGGGAATGTTTATTTACCCAAGTAACACAGTGGGAAGCATGTCTCTGGAATGCATTTTGCTCTAAATCGAAGGTAATAGAAACAAAATTAACCAGTTAATCATACCGTGTACGAGATAGTAACTGGTAATTACGTGAATCCGAATCCATGTGCCTTAATGAAACGGCGGTTTGATCAGTTTTTTCATTCAAGAAAGACAATTATATGCAACAAATCATTTAAAGAAACAGAAGATGCATTAGCACTAAATACTTCAGGTTTCTGATTCATACCACTAATTTTATCTGCCATATATTCTAACTCTGTCATATCTTCGTCACTAACTATTAATATCATTTTTATTCAGACAGCTTCTCAGGCCACAATGTTTTGATTAAATTTTCAGACACATCCGCAATAGCAACTGATCTTAATTTCCGCAAAAACTGGCTCGGTTTCATGTTACCAAGCTACGTATAATACTCTAGTTTTAGTATCCGATTATTTTCTGGCAATTTCGTTCGTTACAATATCTTCGATATTTTCAATGAACTTAGGTTCAAGTTGTGAAATTAAATAATGGAACTTCGTTTCTTCTGAAACAATGCTGCTGATTTTGAACTGGGCTTCAACTTAAAGCCATATTTCAAGCTTATCAGTCGCAAAAGATGGTATTTTTAGAGTCACCTTAAAAAGCTCTGCGATAGCATCGACTTCTTCGCAGAAGTTTCAGAAGACTCTTTTGTTGTCATTTCAGAAGAACAAACGGGTCACCAGTATATAGCTTTTGACTATCGGTAGTCACACTCTATTATAATTTAGGTACAACATGAATTACTACCGAGTCGTTAAGTATACTGCTTTTTACTTTTTAGCTATAAAAATGAGCTACTACTTAGAATGACATAAAAAACAGACTCAAACTTCACACATCACGAACAACTAACTACTTGTCATCATTCAACATAAAATAAGTATAAATATCAATAATATCAAAATGTTAAAAGTTAATTTTACAGAATAATTAAACACAAGTAAAAATATAAAATACTTGAAATTAAAAATAATTATTACTCGTACAATTACTGAGACCCTACAGAGCTTAAAATGATACCTCCTGTTGAAATTTTAAACCTTCATAGCTTACAATGGAAGCAAAGAGTTTCAGATTTACAGGATAAAGACAATTAATTACTGTGACAGAACCAGTAGCTGGTGAAATGACATTAAACCAAGTATGCTTATACACTCCTGAATCTGCATTTAGAGATATTTTATTATGCAATATTTTTAATGACTCCCCGTGCTTCTCTGTATGCCACTGTTCGTACATGGCGCCATACGCAGAGTGCAATTCATTGCTGTGCACTGTGATTTCATTTACGACGGCATAAACCCCATTTAATGGGTATTCCCCAAAATGCTATGTTTATATGCTAATATTTTTAGTGTACTAATCTACCACTTTATTGCTGTTGTCTTCCATTACTTTTATATACTTTGTTATTTTAATTACAAAATGAACGACTCAAGTAAAAAAACACAAAATTTATAATTTTAAAGATAGTTAGTTATATGGCAGTAGCATTGCAGTGTCAAAAAAATAATGTTAAACGTCACTTTCAGACAATTCATTTCATTTTTAATATGACCTGTTTACTTAAATCTGATGTAAAAAAGAATAAAATAAATCAAACTTGTTTGCCTTACTATCAGTTTTCACTGTGGTCAAATGCAAAACTTTCAATATTGCTTCTTTCAAAATTTCTCACATGCTGGGGGGGGGGAACTTCCAGGATAGTGAATTGTTTAAAAAAGCATTTTAACTTTAAGAAAAAATTTATAACAAACATCAGATTACGTCAGGAATAAAATCTCGCAACTATCAGAAAATGCTATGGCATTCTATTTCAAATCTACAGCATGCTTACAGAATATGCAAAATCAATAGATTTGCCTCTGTACAAAGTGTGTGCGCTAACAACTGATGGGGCACCAGCAACGGTTGGTAACATCAATGGGTTTATTGCCCTTTGCAGAAAAGATAACTAATTTTCAAACATTATGTTGGATCACTGTATCATCCAGCAGCAACAGATCATGAAAATAGTTACAAAAATGTCGCCCAGACGGTACTGAAGGGATTGGAATCCCAGGCAAGACATGGATGTCTGTAAATGTATAGTGTCAGTGCAGCATGCCGGCACTCTAAATATGCAGCAAGCCGAAAGTCCTCTCGTGTGGATTGGTGAGTAAGATCCCCGAATTCCCGCTCAAAATTGGGGGTGGAAAATGGAAGTCCAACCTCTCTTCAGAGTAGGCTCTGGCAACCATGTTCCATGAAATGTGGACACGGCAGCAACAGTTACAAAAATAGTAAACTTGAGCATCTCTTTTTCGACACAACCTTTTCTAGGCTCTACTAGAAAATACTGATCTTATTCGGCATACTGAAGAATGTCGGCTCAGTAAAAGAAAAGTTCTTGCAAGATTCATAAATTTAATTGAAGAAATAAATTATCTCAATACCAAAAATCTAAATTTTGCTGAACTAACAGAAACTTGGAGCTGCAAGTAAAAGATAAAAATATATAGCTTTAATGATATGGTTTGTTAAGTTGATTAAAGCTAAACTGGTTTTGTGGATATCACATCTTGTGCATTTCCCAAATATGAAATAAAAATGATAAGTATAGCTGAAATTTACTTGTCCTCATTTTTATCAATTATTTCAAGATCAGTCTGAAAAATAATTTCATAAGTTTACTATTAACGAGCCAATGATAATCGTTTTCATCAATCCTTTTACTTGCCAAGTAAACGTACCAGTATATATTTCAGTATTTATTCAAGCAAGAATAGAACTACAGATAGAAATTTTGAATCTTCAAAACAGTATTGTACAATGTACCAAATGAGAATTTCTGGAATACAACTGACAGAAATTTATGTTCTTGAAAACAGCCTCATACAAGAGAAAATCATTTTTAGATTCCATATATTTACGTGAATCATTGTTTTCAACAATGAATATCACTAAAGCAAAGTTCAAATTTCGATTTACAGATGAACATTTTATGACTGCTTAAGACAACAGCAATATAATCATATTTTCCTAATTATGAAGCAACGACCAATGAGAAACAATGCTACATATGACATTAACTTTAAGAATTAGATATTTTAAAAATAATTCTTATACCAACAAATTGTAAACCAAAGTAATATGTAAACTTTTGTCTGTATTATTTAGTAAATATTTATTTCACACAAGAATATCATCAATAATTTTCTTTTGTATAGATGTGTATTATTAACCACATCAATCTATAACTTTACCTTGAGAAAATAAATGTGCCCACCATCCCATCTGTACTACAAAATACAAAAGATTGGAAATCCCTGAATTAATGCAATTCCTATGTTGATAAACAACTTAAAGACCGCGACTTTTACTTTAATATAATAACCTTTATTTTATTTGTCTTCTTTCATACTTTAGGATTCTAGTGATGGCTGATGGAAGAATTGTGGAAGATGGAGAACCAGATACACTCTTACAGAAGCAAGATTCTCTATTTTACCAACTCGGCCGATCAGCTGGATTGCTATAATGAGACATATTACAAATGTTATATTTCATCAAACAAGATTGCAGAACAAAACTGATAATATCTGGGAATATTTAGGTACATTTAGGAATAGTTTTCACCCAAACTTTGTTGGAACTGTAATTAAAAGCCTTTAAAATAAGAGTTGATAAACCAAACTTTTAACAACAGTTGACTAGTACTAAAAATATAACAGCTGCATGACTGCAGTTAAAATGAAGTATTTGAAGAAGAGTACTGCATTTTTGAAGCAATGTTTTCACAGAAAAGTACGATTATTCAGTGTGTAAAGAAATGTTAACAGAAAATTTGTACACTGTAATATAAAAATCTGATGTATACACCACATGACTTCCTTGTATTGGAATATTAAATTATACGCATTTTTCTTGCATTTCATTTAAACTTATTGGATTGAATTAAATCTACTTCGCCGACAGCGCATAAACCACAATAGAATAAATGCATTCTTTAAAATTCACTCTAGTATTTGTTTACCATAGCGACACTCTGGCGCTAGATTCACTTAACAGTATTAATAATTATATAACAGTTAACTTATATAATAATTATATAACAGAAACTAAGTTAACTGTTCTATAATCCAATAATTATAGAACAGTTAACATATAAATTTAGTTCATATTATAACTCATAATGCACAAAATTTATATCATTTAAAGGATAGAATTATCTAATCGTTGCCACATGTTCTATTCAAATACTATAATAAAGCTAGAATGATGTATAAAAGAAATTAAGCAAACAAAACAAAAAGAAACAGTTTTTCACAGACGATTGAGTATTTCTCATTTAATTAATTCAGTTCTCACTTCGCGAGAAGGCAAAAATACATAAAAACTCAAAATATCTATATTAAAAATTACGAAGTAAATCTCAAACACTTATTTCCTCGAAAAAATTCCAGAAAGAATTAAGCAGGATTTAATTGGCAATAATAGTAAATGAAGGCGTTATCTTTGTTGTTGCAAAGCTAAGTTTCTCTATACTGGCAACAAATCCACTAGTTTTCTGTTTCAAATGTAAACATTAATGGCCGCCATTAAAAAAAGGCTTAGCGGCAATTAAATAATTTTAAAATTGCTGATAACTCTAAAAATATTGCACACAGATTTACTAAAGGCATAAAATCCTTAACCGGATGAAAAAACAACATAATTCAATCATTTTTAAAGCAAAAAATGTACAATTTACAAACATATAAGAGTAAAGAAACTGAGATCACTGAGCCGGGTAACAGAGTGGATATATATATAAATATATTTATATACGTTTGGTGCTGCCGATTGCAACCAAAATACGAGGTGCACATCTACATGTTATAGCAGTCCTATATACATAATTTCAACGCTCTGATGCTACTCGTTTTTGAGTTATGCGAGATACGTACGTACGCACGTACATACATTCGTACAGACGCCACGAAAGATTCTCTTCAGAATTAATTTTAAAGCAGTTTTATAATTTTTTTGAAGGAAAAGAGTCTTTTATTCTGTCCTTACGTACAGATATCACGCAAAAACATCGTTAAATTGCATTCCATAGCGGTCAAAATGGATATTTTCGTTGAAATATGCTGCCTGAAATTTTTCGCGATTACAATACTTCCTTTTTACTTCGTACAAGGAAGTAAAAATTATCAGAAAAAAATGAAAAATGTTTTGAAAAACATTCTTTTTCGTTCAAAATTAAAGGACATTTCTAGTTTATTTTGCTATAAAGTAAAATAATTCTTATTTTGCAAATAACTTAACAATGAAAAAGTGTTACAAGTTGCTAATTACCATATACCTCAGCACTATTACGAAGATGTGGAAAAAATGCCTAATAAAATAATCATTTTCCAATCTTCATCAACCGAGGGAATTGAAATAGGTAATTATTAGTATCTATCCATCCTCTAAAACCTGAAAAAAATTGTAAAAAAAAAATTTGTGTAAATGTCAACTGGAAGTTTAATCAATGTACTGTTTTTTAAAACTATCATGGATTTCCTATCTCATTTCTTTAAAAATGTATGTTAAAATTTATTATTACAATTATCAAAATAAGCTCAACATTCCCTAAATTAATAGCTAATAAATTAATTAACCACTGAATTAGTATAGAGTGGGACACGTGGATCTATATTTTCTCTGATACACTAATGTTATGAAGATATAGGATAAAAATACACACCATGAATACACTGCCAGAAATAGGAAAAGGGTTCAGTGCCATTCATTCATATTCCCATCTTAAATATTAGAAACGTGGATTCCATAATAATTAATAAAATTCTTCAGCTATGCTCAAAATTTTTTTTACTGCAGTGTAGCACAGAACAAAGTTTTAGTTTCAAAAGAACTGTGTTAAAGACTCAAATTTTGTAAAAGAAATCAAAATTTAAAAATAAGATAGCAAAAATGCTCTTAAAACAATATTGTTCAGCTATTGGATTCAGCTATTTTGAATCTCCCAAACTGAAAACTCCAGACTTCTTTCTTTGCAGATGTACTATGAAGTCAAAACTGTGAAAACTTCTTGAAAAAAAATGAATTTTAAGATTTGATAACATATAACTTCATTATTTTCAAAGAAATTCCTACCAAATTAAGCATCACGGAAAAGATAATTTTATGAAAAATATAACGCAGTTAATCATAGTGAATTATTTTAATATATTTAAAGCTGAATAATGATGGGGGGGGGTTACTAAAAAGATATAGGATTTCTTAAAGCTAAAAGTCAAATGCTATAAAATAGATTCCTGTAAGGTTTTAATATGTATAAATTCACATCTTATCAATTACAATTTCTCAAATACAGTCAAAAGTCGTTAATCCGGACTCGTCGGGACTTCGGCGATTCCGGATTATAGATCATCAGTTTAAATCTGATAAGATGGCATGCAGAAATTATAAAATTAAAAATATGAAACTGTAATTTATGAAATAAAGAACAATTATGATATGGGTATCAAAATTCACAAAAAAAAAAGCTTAATATTTATTTGTTTACTTTATAAAACATTTCTTTCAATGTAAGTTGTTTAAGTTGCTTCGTTTTTTATGTGATAATACATTCTCTTTAATTCTATAAACACACATAATTTCTTGTTCAGTTACAAAGTTTCGCTGTTCAAGTCCTATAATTGCTGTGTGGAGAATACCGACTAATTTGTCAATCGAATTTTTTTCGTTTTCAATAACCTCTGTCACTTTCTTCGCTATCGGAAGTGAATTATAATGACGAGGCATTTGATTTAAATCATATCAAGGACGGAGTACATCGAGATGAAATACTACATTTAGTAAGGAATTATAAGCCAAATAAAATAAAAAAATCTGCCCTGAAGATAAGGATAGTGCTGACAGATCAAATTCCAATTCATTGCGCGGCGCCGCGGTGTTGAAGATAAACAAAGTTTAGATAAACAAAGGATATGCCTTTATCCATTTTTTGCAGCAATTCCACTTTTTTGTTTAATAGACTTCGAAACATACTTTCGCTTTGTAGATCCTTTATATATTAGTAAATATATATCAGAAATTCTATTTGACATAATCGAAAGTTCAAGCTTACTTTTATCAAATTGCTCTAACAGTCTGCAAAAAATAATAAGCCGAATCCAATTCGAAGATTAAGGAACAACGCAATCTGCAACATTAACTGAATTAGATAATTTTAGCTTAGTTTATACCGTCCATTATACACTCATGTCGATAAATTAGGGATAATTCGGAGTCACGCGGAAATTGAACTCTAAAATAAATATATCACCTGTAAAATCACTATACACATCTTCAAAAATCATATGCAAATTTCAGGAAGTAACCAGATGACGCCGATGGTACGTCACAATGACGAGAGTGTAAGAGAGTGATATATAAGGAATACAGGCAAAGAAGTAAAATTGTTCGCAGGCGCTTTATAAGCATTTCAGTGCAATAACCGAATAGTTATGACACAAAGGATGCATTTGGATGACTTTTTACGTGGTAGAATTATCGGCTGTCTGGAATGTGGTTATACCCAACTGGAAGTATCAGACGAACTTGAAATCGCCCAGAGTGTCATCTCCAGGCTTTGGCAACGATTCCAAGATGATGATAATGTGAGTAGATGTTACAGCACAGGTAGCCTCAGAGGACCGGTATTTGGCAGTTACTGCCAAAAGAAACAGGCGGAGTACAGCCTCAGACCTGTCTTCAGCCACTGGTACGACAATTTCAAGGCAGACCATGTACAGACACTTAGGGCAGATTGGTCTATATGCTCGTAGACCTGTCAGATGCGTTCCACTTACTGCAACTCACTGTCGCCTGCAGTTAGCCTGGAGTAGAGAGCATACATTGTGGACACTGCAACAGTGAGCTTGTGTGATGTTTTCCGACGAGTCCAGGTTTAGCTTGCAGTCTGATTCTCGCCGGACTTTCATATGGAGAGTTCCAGGTACCCGTTACTACCAAGAAAACATCATTGAACGACACCGTTACAGTGGTGCAGGAGTACTCGTTTAGAGTGGAATTATTCTGAGTTCCAGAATTGACCTGAATGTTCAAATTGGAACCATGACAAGCCAAATTTATCGGGACGTCATTCTGGAGCAACATGCACGTTTGTTTCAAGGCACCATGGGCGCACAATTTGTGTTTATGGATGACAATGCCCGTCCTCACTGTGCAAACATCGTAAGCGAATGCCTTCAATCAGAGGATATCCCCAGTATGGACTGCCCAGGATAGAGCACGTGTGGGACATGCTTGGCCGACGAGTTGCAGCCCGTCAACCTCCTACATGTCTACCGGAATTTTGAAGAGAATTGCTTTTGAGTGGTGTAATATCCCCCAAGATCAGATCGATAATTTGATACTCAGCATAACTAGGCGTTGTACGGACTGTATTGCATCGTCTGGGAGACATACAATGTATTAACAATCAGACCAACCATGTAATATTGGTTATTTTGTAAATAGATGTTTTTTGTAATTTGCTCCAGGGAGAAAAAATCGCCAATTTTTTTAATATCAAACATATAGCATCTCTTTTGCTCTTTACCTTTTGTTTAATAAATAAGCTTTACAGATAAGTCAAATTTGTTTTGCTTATAACTCTTCCTTTGCCTGATTTTGCATTATCCTTAATTTATGGACATGAGTGTACATTAAACGCGCATGCGTCAACTCTACGCGTGCACAGAAAGTTTGTAGCTTTGAAGTCCAGATTATAGATTGTTCCGGATTATGGGTGTCCGAATTAACGACTTTTGACTGTAGTTGTTACTTTTACAAAATAAGACAAAGTCCATTAGCGCCAAATGCCTGGTTAAGGCTATCCAAAAACAGGTCCAGGCACAATGGAGAATTTTCTTCCATTGCAGCCCTGAAATTTTATAGGATTGCCTACCCCCCAAAAAAAATTCTCAATGATTAATAAAATTTTTACTTAGTGCTTACATATGGTAAATTGTATAAAAAGAACTTACAATGAATTTAAAATATTTAGGCGTGGTATCACCAGAGTCCGGCCGCCCAGGTAATTTTATGCTCTGCACCCTCGGTAGGAATGGCCCTGACTGCATAACAGACGATAATCTAAAAAGGCTTGTTTGGTGTGGCATTTTAAGTAAACTGAAAATATTTTATGATGTAGGAACCAAATATGACAGCTGAGAGTAAAAATAGCTGTCTGTAGTTCTCTTTCACTCAGAGACAGAGACTTTACATATCAGTGCAGCTCTAGAACAGTCTCTCTGGTCCTAACTATGAGAAGAGTGCAAGGGGAGGACTTTAAAAGTGCTGTTATTTAACTTTTTTAATGATAAAGATCACTAGAATAGTAAGTGGACAAAATAAAGTCCTTCATTTGCTAATTTTTCAATGATGGCTCTGAGATTTGTTTTAAATTGAATATCATTGCCATTATAATATTTCTTAACTTTTAAGATCTGTTCCTGCTTATAAAGTTGCTTAAATGTAGTAGATCTCAGATTTCCGATGTCATTTTGATAAATTTTGCTTTATGCAGACATGTAAATTAAACCATATTCATCATATTAGCTCATTCAACTTTTTTTTTTTTTTTTTTTTTTTTGTTGTTGTTGTTGTAAGGAGGTGCGATATATGAACTGTTACAATTCACAATTTTTTTAGAATAAATGAACTGTGATATATCCGCACATATTTACAAAACACATGCCAAAAGTTTCGGCTAAGAAATAACTCTCACTTCATGACCAAGTTTGTGCAAGAACCACATCAGATGAACCATACTCTCATTAAGTGAGAAATGTTTGTAGTTAGAAATTTGTGAAGAAGAGATGATATTTATAAAGATAAAAATAACAAATTGACTTAGCACTACAGTGAAGAATCATTCATACTTAGCAAAAGTTGCACTGAATGCATTTTTAATAAAGATGTAAATATTGATGAAGTGGAAATAGAACAGCTTGATATTAAGCTGAGAATGCCGTTAATGCTTCTGAAAAATGATAGTTATCATTAAAATTATATCAATACTTTCTAGCACCAGAAAAATTAAGAATGTTTTTAACTTTGCCAGTGAAAAATGCTTACGAAATGTATTCATTTTCTGTACTTATACAGCACTCTTTCTGGGAAAAAATATGAAAAGTGTCAGATTTTAACGGCTGCACAAAAGGATTCATTAAAGTTTTTTAAAGTCTCACTTTGCTCACAGTCTATCAGTTTGCTCTTGCACTCATTCCAACTAACCCCCTTTTTCTTAGCTTTATTATTCAGTACCTGTTTTTTTTTTTTTTTTTTTTTTTTTTCACTCATGCCACATGTAATTTAACAGCAAAATATTTAGAAACAGTATTCTTTAGAATTCTCAACAGATTTTTAGAAGTAGTCCTACATATTTTGATATTCATTGTATTATTTCTTTTAACTGCTAAAATAAACACATAAAAAAGTACGTAATGCTTTTCAATGAATCCAGGTAGTGTTATTTGATAAAAATATTGGCATCTCTTATTAGACATCTTATGATTTTGAATACATCTTTATTTAAATCAGTCCTATTAAAAAGTAGAAAAAAAAATGTGTTTATTGTTTAGTTTATTACTCAATAACCTTCCAGATAAAATTTGAGAGTATCTTATTTCCAGCTCAAGCAACATTTTGCTTCATTATCAAGTAAAACTGAAAGAAAATATCTTACATTTTTCTGAATGGCAAGTCTTGTGCACTGGAGATAAACATGTTTTAATTACAAAACTGTTACCAACGATCATTTTCAAATCATTCAAAAATTCATTAAAGTTTAAGAAAATATGAAAGAAATAATACAATAAATTCAAATTGGGCTTAGAGATGCATGTGTGTGCAGAGGACCGCATTGTTCAAAACTGGATGACTCTACGTACCATCGTTTTTTCGCAATGCAAGGAACATATATACATACATGCAGATTCTTCATTATTTAATTTCAATATTTGGTAGAACAATCTGAAAAATGATACAGCCATTTATAGTGGATGACGGAAAATCCCATTATGAGACTAATATGCCCCTTTTGGGCTAAAAATGTTTTGCACTGGATATCATACACTGGATTAAATATTGTGTAAAGATAGAGATATTCTAAAAGCTCTTTTATAAGAATCTTATGATTAAGTTTACAGTTGTTAAAAAATGGAGATCTTAAAATAATTTATACAGTTTTATTTTCATTCATTTAAAATGTTTAATTTATATTACCAGTTTTTAATAAGTAATTTTTTATCTTCAACTAATAATACAAATTAATTCAAGTTAGAACAAAAAAATCTCTTTAATGAACATCACCCACACTTTTATACCCAGGGCTCTGAACTAGCCGAGTACCAAAATGAAGAAGAATTTTAAAAAATGCCATTTATGTAAAGTGCAAAGTTCAGTTGTATTTCATTGATCTTAAAAACATTCCATTATCCTCTTATCATTTCCCCTTCCCCTAAATAGAAAAAAGATAAATAATATTTCAAATAAAAGGATTACTCCAATAAAATTTTTTAATGTTACTATTTATGGCATTTAATTCTGCTGATTATATGCACCTTAAGTGGATCTTTTAAGTGTGTCAAAGAACATGCGTATAAGACTTCTTGGGCAAAACAAAAGTAGATCTGATAAAAAATAGTTAATTTTTTTTAAAAATTGGATTCATAAAACTTCCGTTTCATTTCAGACATATTTCTTCTTCTAATTTTTCTTCTATTTGTTTTTTTCAACTTTTATTAATACTTTCCAATGCAAATGTATCTTAATACTCCACTTTTTGCATATTCCATGCCATTTTTTTTAATCTGACATATACCATAAAGGTTTAAGTGCTACTGAATAGCAATTAAAATTAAAAAACACTATTAATAGTAGTGAATATAGTATGTTAAATGTACAGAACGGCTAAAAAATACATCTTTTTCTTTTTTTTTCCCTTCAAAATTTTATATAGTCACCAGAAAAGAAAACATCTAAAGATGTAACATCCTAGCATATTCTGACACAGCACTTTTCTGTTCAGAACATTTTATTAAAAAAAAAGCCCTTTATTAATAGGTAAAAAAAAATTATTCTTCAGTGCTCAGAAAATTACTTTAATTTAATGTTTGCTGTGGCAGCATTTCTAATTCAGAACATTATATGGGAGAATAAATTTTATTTATTTATTTTGAAAGTTGCAAAATAAAATGTATATCTGTATATATAATACTTTCATAAACAAGTTATATTTGTGGATAAAAATTTTGAAATCTTAAGAGACTGTAGATACTGGGCTGATTTCAGGACTTGTCAAGTTTTACACTTGAAAATCAGCAGCATGCCATTTTTATCAGCAGCATGCCATTTTTTAAAATTTATTTAAAAAGAAAAATGCTCAGAACTAATTTTTTAATTATTTAACCATAAAATATACTATTTATTCCAATAAGATACATAAACAGATCCTTTCGCAGATAAGTTTCACAAGTTGTCAGATCTAAATGATAAAAAAATTCACTCTAAAAATTCATTTTGATGGCTTGACTCAAGGAGGAGCTGGAATGAAGTACTGGAGTATGCATTAGGCACAGTCTCTCGCATTCCAATCAACATAATACATTTAAGTAATTAATTTGCTAATGTAAATAAAAATGTTTTAATTGGTGAATATGAAACCTGGATATCTTAAAAATCAAACTTTTCACATTTTGTGACCATCCACACTAACATTACAGCCTAAATGTATAAAATACACAAATTTTATTTTCATTAAGCCTTTATTTACATAGGAAACCATGGCAATAATCCTATTTGCTACTCACCCCAGACTACAGACAAAAGTTAGGGCATTAAGAATTAATTATACAGATTAAATGCACATAGTCTTAAAAGTCTGCAAGGCATATTAAAAATACAAATCTTGAAATCAAAATAACAAATTCAGCCTATTTTGTGAAATAGAACAGGTGGAACACTGCAATTTTAGAATTAGCTTCTAAAACTTTCTTGGAATTACTGCCTGCTGTGTGAAAAAATAAGAATGATGGAATATTGGATTTTCCAGAATATAGGTTTCTCTACAACATCCATTATACACATGACATGGTCACATCATTCTCTTTACAAAACAACAAAAAAGCTTGTCTACAAAGTGCAAGTGGTTTTTTTCATGTGCAATGTATAAGCCAATTTCCTTCAGAAAGTTCATTAAGAAGGCATCTTAATCCAAAATTTGCCTCGCCATGATTAAATAATTCAGTCTTATCCTGCAATATTCATAACTCAAAAAAGGCCTCATAGCACAACGTAGTTTAACAGTAACTAGCAAAATACAGTATATGAAGTAACTCTCATATGAAATCTAAGTTCAAAGTAACAGAGATAGATTATCTCTTCCATTATAATAAATCAATTGAAAATGCATTTAGAATGCAATTCTTTGAGAATGTTCTAAAAATCCTTCTCAGCTTTATGAACATAAATTTGAAGCTCTCTTTCACTTGCTTGAAATTTCAATCTCTTTTCACTGCTTCTCTTCAAATGCCTAAGATTTCTCAAAGTAGTTGAATTAAATTTCTCCAAATCTGACCTTCCAACTTGATAAATGAAGACAAAGAAAGTTACTTCTATAAAACTGATAGCACAAAACTGTTGAATTTGATAGTGTACTTTGAAGAATACTGATGGAAGAATAATGGTGTTGTAACAATAGAACTCATTTTCTTCAGTTTGTACAACCAAGTCTGAGATCATCCAACAAGCACAGAACATACTGGCCCAAAAGTTCAAGTGGGATCTCCATTCAAAATTCAGTTATTAGATGATTCCTTTTCGAAACAATGGCCTTCGCACTTATACACATTTGCAGTGAAGTGAGTTTGACTAGCTGAGTGTGTGATCAATGTGGTACAGCAAAATGTGTGATGAAGAATCTGGTAATGTAATCTAACGTGATGTGAGAAATTAAATAAGGCTTCAAATGTATCTACAGCTGCACTGCACGACCAAAGAATACAAAATTGTCTAAAATTTTCTTTATATTACATGATTCAGATTACTGAACTACTTGTAATATGATTCGGATATAAAATATATTTATATTTAATTAGATAATCTAAATTTTATGTCCTTTGACTAATTTCATTTTGTAATTGTTTTACACTTTTATGCTTACAAAATCTTCAGTATGGAACAAGAAGGTTTCATTTGTCTAAGTACTTTTAAATATGACAAAAAACAAAGTTAATAATTAATGTAATTCTATTTTGTGGATAAACTTTAATGTATCACTCACTGGTATAAAACAAAATTAAATAAAAATATTAACAGATTGACCATTGGCTGAATCTTCACAAAGGCCTACAGCAAACTTTTTATCCCATGCACCCCTTTTAGCATTGCTAGATCATCCCCCTTTGTTTTTAAACTTGAAAAATACATACATGCATTTATTTAGATTTATATTATTTTCTATTATGTTTTATAAATAAAACAACTAACAGCATAGAAGATGTTGATAAATACCTAAACTTGAATAAAAGTAGTTTTTATTATATATATATATATATTCATGAACTAAATATTTAACAGCTAAATAAAAGGCTGACCACATTCCCCCCTTCATACAAGTTAAGAACCCACATCTACAGTATGTGAAGACAGATCAAATAAAATTTAGTAAGAAAAATTATGCTGAAAATCCCCAGGGTCAAGGGACTGAAATTTGCATAATTTAAGTTTCATTAATTCAATAAATTTGATTTATTGTCAAGAAACATTTTCTTAATAACGACTAATAATTAAAAACTAAGATTACTGGTGATCTATTTGTAGAGTAGGCAGCTATGTGCTTTTCATGTAAAATATATAAGAATGACTTGGGAATGTTTGTCAACTATCAAATAAAGGAAAGCTACTACAAAATGACACTTTTTTCTTTTCATAAATACTTTTTTTTTAAAGTTTTATAAGTTTTAGAATGTATTTACTCAATGCCTTAAAATTTACTTATGGTATTTTAAGAAAAAATGCAAGAGAATCTTGATAAAGATATGAAAAAAGTCAAACAACAGAGGATTTGGAATATGTATGATTCTTTTTTTAATTACATGAACATAATTATTCTAGATCATGAACTGGCATAGTTAGAAAATCAACATGGATGCTCATAATTTGACTAATACTAAAACTGCCCTCAAATATATGATTTTTAAAAATTTTTCCAAATGCAATTAACAATCCCCAACAAAAGATAGCTACAAATTACTGAAAATACAAATATCAAACATACACGATTTTTTAAAATTTGCTAAAATCAACTATTATTTCTCAACAAAAGCTTGCTCCTGTTGGCAGCACTAGCAGCAGATTTGCACCTTTCTGAAAATGATTCTAGCAAAAGAAATTTCCAGAGATGAAATGAGTATTTGTTATTTGGTTCGAAAAAATTAAAAATGACATATTTACCATCAGATGAATAGACAGAAGAATGGCTAAAGTGTTGACTTTCTGGAGATTATTTAATGTAGCTGAGAATGACTTTTTTTCAAGGGAAAAAATTTATCGAGAAATCTTACATATATTTTTATTGAGAAAAACATTCATTCTTAAAAGAGTTAATTAAAGAATTATAAGTTGAAACTAATTTGAAAAGTTAAGAGACACATCATCTTTTTATTATTATTATTAAAAAATGCATGGTAGGATGCTTTTAGCATCCCATCTTACACATCATGCAAACATTAAAAGCTTGAATGAGAGGCAAATTTCATAGAAAGTAATTAAGATAGATGGACCAACAATTATTTGAAAAGAAATTAATATTTTCCCTAATATTGTACTTAAAAGTTGTGGGCCTTCTGGTAATTCAAGCTGAGTTCCTAGACCTCATAGATTCAAGTTAGGTGAGTTGCATTTGTAGCCAATCAAACCAATTTCCCCCACTGTTTTAAATAAAAATGTAGGTATGTGCTTTTGAAAAGGATTACTTTGCACTTTGAAAATATGATAAGATCAACATACTGGCATATTGAAACTGCAATAATTGCATTTTATACATTCTACCATGAAATAATTCTCAATACCCAACATTCATTAAAGATAATGCTACCACACGGAAATAAATAAATAGGAATTGTTAAGCTTTTGATTATTTTTCAGGCTTTCAAGTGAAGATGAGAACACACAGCCACCCCTAAAAGAATTAGCCAATGACAAAAATGCTGAACTTGAATCCTGAAATAATGAATCACGAAATCAGGACTAATATTTTTTTTCTCAGCAGATAATAATTCTACAGTGCTTGCAAGCACTAACTTTGTGAAATCATCTGCTATCAAAGTGTAATTATGAAAAAATAAAAAATTAAACCTTTGGAGTCTATCACATAAATACTATGAGTGCAAACTGCACTTGTTTCTTAAATGCTATCCTCATTTATCCTCTCAATTTTAATAACTGTTAGTAATTTAGGTAAATTCCTAAAATCAACAGTTCATAATATAGATTAAATCACATTACTGTTAAATTTATCTCAAATAAACAAATTCTAAAAACTTTTAAACCTTATTGTTACTTCTATGCTGTTAATTGGAAATTAAAAATAAAGAATTTCTTTTCTTCCAAGTATGTCAAATTAACAGATTATTGTTATGAAAAAAATTACATTTAATTATTATTAGCTCTTAGAATCTATTTTAACTGACCCAGTTCAATACTAACAACATGAAAGAGAACTCTTTAGTTAATAATTATGTAATTAAAGCAGAGTTCACAAAAATTGCTTGGGGTATTTTTCACGCAGAATTTTCTACTGCTCATTTCATAATTTAACACCAATATATCTGTTTGAACAACACCTCTGATATTTTCCATTTTCTGGTGAATGTTTTCCAATGCATATAGAACTAATAATTATCACTAAAGTGTGTCAGTAATTTACACCCCCAGCCCCACCACTTTTTTTTTTAATACTGTCTACCAATGCTTAACCTTTTTTCATTTTTTAAATCAACACTAATAAATTTAAGATGTGTAAATGGATTAAAGGTGTGTAAATGGATGCTAGTGTAACATCACGCATGTAAGGGTCAAATCAATAAATTTTAGCATCTCGCTTCAGCAGAATACTAGATGAGTATCTTGCCTTTTGGAACAGTATTTCAGAAATAAAGTCACAATTTTTAAAATACAAATTCCTGGATACAACTGACTTCTGAATTATTATTAGCTTGAAAGTATGCAAAAAAGATTTTGACAAATTGTTTCTTCATAAAATTTCAATTAGTTGAAACTTCCAAACATTTTGCATAAAATTTATATAAATATGTACTTAAAAAGACTTAAGGAAAGAGCACAAAATTTTGTCACGCCAAGAAAAGGAATTAATACTCTGACATACAACTCAAAGAGAATTATTATATAATACATTTTTCAGTTTCTCTATAAATTATTATCTTAATTTTTGTTTCAGCATTTCCAATTTGATTTTTACGGTAACAATTAAAAACTGGGTAAACCATAAACATAAATTCAAATGCTTATGGGGGGGAAAAATATACGTTATTTTTTATCATGTACGATTAAGTAGTTCAGTTCTGTTTATTACTTTGAAATGGTTATACTACATCTTTAAAATGTACACTTCAATAAAGTTTTATTTAAACAATTTTAATTTTGTTTTAGCAAATTTACACATAAATGTATTAAAAAATAAAATGAGAAACCTTTAAGAGAAGAAAATAAATCAAAAACATGCTAGTAAATTTGTTGAAGTGAAATTTGCATATAATATATATAATTACATTAAGTCTATGAATATCATGAATCACAGATAATAATGTATTTTTATCTGGAATATATCACTTCTGTACATGTGACCCACTGTGAGAATAAAAATATCTCACAGCAGATAAGTTAATTAGCACTTTTAGCTGTCTTATTACTACTTAGAACATATCACTAATTCTTGTGCAGAAACTTTATGCAGCAAGTAAATACATCTTTGTCTTTGATGATGCACCATACTTTGCACACTGGTCCATATCTTTTCAAGGCAGATGTATAGAAGCTATCATTATAAAAGGAATTCATGCTGCTTCTTTCCCAAGAAAATTCATGTAAAAAGCATATGTGATATGTTCTGTATGACTTTTGAACACTAAATATATTGCTTGAGTTCTATTGCAAAACAAGTCCAATCTGGAAAGATTAAAAAAAAAAAAAAAAAATAAAAATTGAAACAATTATTATACATAACATGAATATAAAATTTAGAAAATGTATAATTAGATAAAGGGTACACAATAAGTCTTTCAATTTAGAACATTAAAGCAACGGTTCAGAATGTGTTATAAATTTTACCGAAAAAGTAATTAGGCAGGCTCACATGTTGAAACAGAATGAACTAACAGCATGCCTAGCTGTGCTCAGTTGAGTAGCAATGACATTTTTGTATTCACTAAGACTGTTGTCTTAACATAATGCCTTTGGACACAAAAACTTTGAAAAATGTTCACCAAAAAAATTATATTTAAAACAAGGTTTCATGAAGAATGGTGAATTTGGGGTTTTTCTTTGCATAGATAATCATGAGAGAGAAAACTGTGCAGCAAAGTGCATCAGAAACTTACGTGATTAAAAATAATTAAGTAGATGGAAATTTGCTGAAAAGAGGGAAAAAACGAATAACAATTCAGTGCCAATACATCAGATATTGAATAATTTTCATGAGCAAATTTAAAAATCGTAAATCCTTCAAAGTTATTAAAACTTTATCAGCAACCTAACAAATCTAATGGGAAATTGTGAAAGAAGATAAATACACTGTTTGGATTTAAAAATAATTAACAAACACAGGAAACTAACTATTGTAATTGACACTGTACTGCACATCTGAAAATCACTCGAATATTTGTGACCAGACATTACTTTTTATAGCCTTTCAATCAAAGGATCACAAAACACAATTATAAGAAACTGCTTTCAAACTATTGCACCAGAAGACTCCAGAATTTACAAAATGAGAATCTTATAGTATTTCTCCTACTCCAAAGCAGCATAGAACGCAGTTACAGAAAACTTTTAAAAATTCCTTTGATCACCTTGAATGAAAATGGAAGCTGTAGTATCTCCTCATGGAATATTCAGAATACACCTAAACTTTCCACAAATTCATTTTTTAAAAATTTTATTTTAGAAATAAATACAACACTTTTAAATTTGATATACTACTTCCACTGCCAATACTTATTTTAACAATAAAATGAATAATGGTGCATCTGAGGACAGGGTACTAATTCATCTCCAATACAGCAATTTCTCATTACGTCTTTACTTAAACAATACGAATTCTTGTTGCTTATTAGTTGCTTTAACATTTACTTTTGAAAAACCTTTAATATTATAAACATTATAAACTATAAAAAGATAGAAAAATTATTAATATAAATAAAATAGAGTTGACTGTCGCCCAATCGGGATAATAGTTAGTGACGCTGACTGTTGTACCAGAGACCGGGCTATGCGGCCTCTTTATGCAATGAGCTGGAAGTCCTCTCGAGAAGTTGGTGGTAGGAAAAGAGGGGTGAGAGACCCTTGGACCAATCCCCCCCCAAGATGCTCTCCATCAAAACTGGGGGTGGAACTGAGCAAAGCTGTACTGTCACCTGTATGGTGCTCAAGGCTCTTACCAATGACAGGCGCGATCTTGCACTTCTTGCCACGATGCATTTTGTGGGCTTGTTCTGATGTTACTGTTAGACAAATGAGATAAGTCAAAACACAACAACAAGAGTTGACCAGAAAATATTAAAAATACTGAAGATTCCCCCTCTGCCAAAATCTGCCTTCAAAATCCAAAATAAATTCATCACTTATACATAATTAAATAATTTTCTAGAGATAGAAAAATTACTGCAAAAAACAACAAACATTTAACTCATTCTTGTTTATGGGATAAATTTCACATTATTTTTTCTGGTAGATAAATAGACATTTTATAAATTTTTTAAAAATATATTACACAACTGCAGTAATTTAAGATTATCATTATTTATTTGAAACTTACTTGATTTGGCGCCATTGCTTGACATCGCCAATTGTATAAGTAATACTGCAAATTTCCATCACCTATTCCAAATTTTAAAGGTTCTAGAAAAATTTTATTTTCCATTAAATCTAGGGCATTAAAAACATCATATCCCATCTGAAAAAGATTAAAAGAAAAACATAAAGTATGTAAACTGCAATAATTGCCCATGAATTAAAAAATATGAAAAAAAAAAGTAAAAAATAGTAAAAGTATTAAAAAATTGCTCCCGAAGACCTTTTTAATAATAAAAAATCTGATGTGTACACCACATGACTTCCTTCTATGGAATATTAAATTACATTTTTTCCTGCCTTTCATTTAAACTTATTTCCTTGAATTTTGTTACAGATACATTTCTCGTTCAATTAATTCAGTTCTCACTTCGCGACAAGGCCAAAAATACATAAAAACCAAAAATATCTACATTAAAAATTGAAATATATATAAACATAAAACAACAAATGCAATTAAAACAATTTTTACAATTAAAATTACAGTTTCTACGCAAAAACAAGCAATTCGGCCAGCGAGCAAGAAGGCAGATTTTTCAGTGCATAAAACTGTTAAGTTTACTTTAGGCTTCACTCAGCAAAAAAACACTGAAGGCGTAGAAACTGACTTAATTTGTTGTTGACGCTATGCTAAGTCAACATATGAGATAATTTAATAACTTAGATAATTTCAGAATGTATTAAGCATAATTTAATTCACAATAATAAAAGGGGACGTTAATTTGTTGTTGCGAATCTTAGTTTTTCTAGATTGGCAACATATCCATTATTCTGCTAAGTTTCAAATGTAAACAAATATGGCTGTTATGGTGAAAAAATTAGGCTTAGCCGCACTTAAACAACTTTCAAATAAACTGTTGATAATTCTTTGCTAATTCTATAACGTGCAGGTTAACAGGCAGGTAACTAAACCTCAATCGGAAGACCCTTAACCGGAACAAGATAATTCAATTAATTTAAGCATTTAAATTCAAAGAAATGCACAATTTACAAACATACAAGAATAAGGAAACTGAGCTCACCAAGCTGAGTCACAAAGTGGATATATATATATATATACATATATTTATATACTTTTGGTGTTGCTGATTGTAACCAAAATAGGAGGTGCACATCTACATGTTATAGCAGTCCTATATACAAAATCTCAATGTGTATATGAGCCAGTTTTTCTTAGAAAGTCCTCCACGAAGGCATCCCTTACCTTAGGCAGATAGCCCTAGTATGCTTTGCCATAATTAAATACACCATTACAAAATCTCAACATTCTGAGGCTACTCGTTTTTGAGTAATGTGAGATACACATATATGTACAGACGCCTGAAAAAATCTCTTCTGAATTCATTTTAAATCAGTTTTATAATTCGTTTGGGGAAAGAGTCCTTTATTCTGTTCTCACGTAGAGATGTCATGCAAAAAGATCGTTAAATTGCATTTGATAGCGGTAAAAATGGACATTTTCGTTGAAATATGATACCCAAAATTTTCCGCGATTACAATACTTCCATTTTAATTTGTACAAGGAAGTAAAAAAATGGAATTTTAAAAATAACAGTTTTGGATCTCTCATGAAGACCTGATTTACATAGCATTTATTAGGTAAGCTTGTATTATTATTTATTTCAATCTCTAATTTCATAAACTTACATTCATTAAGATGCCATTTACATTATTATAAAATGCAAGAAAGAAAAAGATCTTAAATTATACGAAAACAGATAATTTCATGCCCAGATAGAGCCAGTCATGGCACTCAGAGGGTTAATTAAACTGGTAAGGAAATACTTAAATATGTTTCAATAAAAGAAAGAAATAAAAGAAAAATTGTGTTAAAATAATTAGGCAGCTTTTCATTCTCATTTGTGCCATTGATATCTCTGTAAAATTACTACAACACTGAAGGGAAACAACATTATATCACAATAAAATAATTTAATGTAAGATATAAAAATTTTCAAACTTTTTAAATTTTAAATGTAAAAGAAAAAAAACTCAAAAAAGTCACAGTCATTTTTGGGTAAAAGCAAAGGCAAAGTTTAGACAAATGAAAACTTCCGTTAAATTAAAAAACTATTAAAACTCACATTTTTTGCTACTATGAGTGCATCACGCATTAGGTCTGTAAGAGGTGTTCCTTTGCCTACATTATAGAAGGCATATGCTGCTTTTAGGCTTTTGTGTACTGGATGATGCATGACAGTCGAAGGCAAGGTGTAAAAACTTACAAAATCAGTTATGGTTCCATTTGACTGAAACATAAAAATGTTACATATAGCATTTAATTGTTTACTTTTCTTTTTTAAACTAATGAAAAATAATTATTTACTTTTTCATATGTTAGGATAAAAGCTGATTCTTATTTATAATTTTAAACTTAATAAACAGTAAACAATATGAAATCGTCTCAAAATTATAAAAGCATAACTTACTTCAACAACAAAGCTGTTAACTATATCTTCACGAGGAAGAAACCAATATCGAAACTCTTCTTCAGTAAAGGAAGGTGCAAGGTCAAATTTTAATAAATACTATGCATAAAAAAGAAAACATTCAATTATTACACAATATAATTTTTTTTAGAATTAACAATAGATTATTGTACTGCATTTATATACCAGGTGTACAAATACAAGATGCAATTTTTTTTCCTTAAAAAACATGTTAAATTTGGAAGAATGATAAAAAGTGCTTTATTCAAAGCATGCTCCATTGCTTCTTATATATTTTTTGCATTTTTCGGACAATTTGTGAATATCATAGCAGTAAAAATCTTCCCCTTTGCTAGGAACCATTAATAGAGTCATTTTTCCACATCTTCGTATGAACCAAAGTGCTGCTCAGCAAGTGCATGCCCCATCGATGCAAATAAGTGGTTAATCTGAATGAGCCAAGTCTGGTAAGATGCATTGGGTAGACCTCCCCAACTGAGTGCTTCCAAGGTCTCGTGAACTGGTTTTGCCATATGTGATAGAGCACTGTCTTGAAAAAAAATGACTGTATGGCCTCGGTATTCTGGACTTTTTTTCAAACAGCGAACTGTTCAAATCAGTAAACTGTTGTTGATAACGACGTTAAGTATTGACCATTTTCCCAGGTTTTTAACAGCTCATAGTAGACAACACCCCTCTGGTTCCACCAAACATAGAGCATCGTCTTTCTGCAAAAGTGATTTGGTCGATGTGGATGGTGCGTCTGAGCCTACCCATGATTTTTTGCACTTGGGATCCTCAATATAAATCCACTTTTAATTCCCTGTAACTATACGATGAAAAAACGACTTCCTTTCATACTAAGCAAGCAAAATGTCATGTGTTTTTGAACTTTTACATTTGCCTGTCATTAAACTAATATGGTATGCATTTACTGGTCTTCTGAATCTTTCCCATCTCACATAGCCAATAGGAAACAGCTTGTTGACTAATGCCCAAATACTCGGTGAGTTATTTTTTGTTTGCAAATCATTCTTCATCCAACAATGCTTGCAATTTCACACCTTTGCATTTTTTGGCAGTTTTTTAGATTCATTGTCTGCAATGTCGAAATCACCACTTCTAAAATGCTGAATCCATTATTCACACTTGTCTTCTTATGAAGCATGTTCACCATAAGCTTGTCAAAGTAATTGGTACAATTCAGCAGCAGATTTCATCAAATGAAAACAAAAAATTAATGCTTTTGTTCGGCATAAATTTTGACATATTGAACTATGGACACACTTTTCTAATTTATCGCTCATGCACATGTAACACTTGTTGATGGCACAACAAAATGGCACAGTGTTAAATCTTTACGTGGCAGCCAAACAATGCTGGAAACTGAAAAATGCCCAAATGCACCAATAACTTGTTGGCAGTGTATTAGTTGGTACCGGTTAATATGCAATTACTGAAGAAATCTAAAAAATTTAAATGTATTGTTGTGTGGAATCAAACATTTTAGATTCCAACTATTAGCTGGATGTGCTAAAAATTACAAAACCATATGCAATAATATACTCAGTTTCTTAAGTTGACCGAAAGCTTTCTTTCATGTTCTGGACATATAAAAACAATGTTTCAATGTAGCTTCATAGTGCAATCAAAAAGAAAAAATATAATAAATCAATTTATGCAACTTTAAAACACAAGTAGAACTCTCTAGTTATCACTAATGGCCATTACTATAAAAAGCGTCCTTAATAAGAATGAGACAACTAAACTGATTAATTATGAGTCAATAATGATAAGTATTCAATTTTTCACGCTGCTAGAGTAACAACATTTTATTTTCTTCAAACGAATGGTAATATCTACTAAATGCTAGAAACATTTATAAAATATGGAACCTTACTTAATGAAAACTATTAAAACTAAAATGGTACTCCTTCCTAATTTTTATGTCAAAGGAAGCAAAATTGCTGTGTTTAAATGTTAAAAAAGTAGTTGAATACCAAAAGCAATGATTTACTGAGATTTATAAAATGAAGAATACAGATATGTTGATATCAGTTAACACGTTCCCTGCCAGACTGTTTTTTGAAGACTTCCCGTTCAGGCCGCGTGGGGCATATGCGCCCCAAGCTTTACATTTGTATTATTTTGTTTCTGGCGTATGTCTTACAATAATTAAAATAGCACAAAAATCATAATTATCCAGGAAAGGTTGTATAGTTTAACATGCATAACACAACAAACCAATAAATTATTTTTCTAGGAATTAGTTTAACAATAACAGTTTTTTCAGTGGTTACCTGGCTGAACATTACTATGCCAAGCAAGTTGCATCCTCACATATAATTTTTTTATCTTACATATATCAGTTTTAAATATAACATTTTAGTTAAATTCAAGTTTATATGCAATTACAAAGGGATGTTACGATGAACTTTATTAAACCATGGTAAACATAAGTGTGGTTTATCCACACAGCTATCGCAGAATGTCGCAACTTTTACAGTACAGTTTCTTGCCGATTAAGAACCCAAATATAAGCCCCAAGATTAAATGAGGACATCAGCAGTAGTATTAAGATGGCCATGATTGACTGCATAATGAATTTTTAAAAAATTCTTCATTTTACAATGACAATACCAAATGGCTTGAACAGAAAGTTTATCGTGGGGCGCTTATGCCCCACACGGCAGGGAACATGTTAAATATTTCAAAAGTATGTAAAAGAAGCAAACAGATCATGAAAATGGTTAAACAGAAGTTTACAAAGAGACTGGACATTTTTATATGTCAAATTACTTGGAAACTGAAGACATGGAAATTAGCTCAACATCCAAACGAGGAAAGATGTCGACTTAAAATTGTACTTCAAAATGGCAAGTTAAAAATACCTTAAATTCAAAGGGGCTTCTAAAATTTATAAGGAAATGATTTCATCCAGACAAAAGTGGAAACATTGTAAGTGATGAATTGTATTTTATGTTTGATCCTAATTTCAGTGGTGGTACTACGCATTATCAGTTAATATTCCCCGCCTGTGGTCTTCAGTGGTTTTTTAATCCAGTCTTTTTTTCTCTCTAGAGAACAATGAATGGTTTCATTTATTTAAATCAATGCATTAAAAAGTACGATTGATCACTTTAAAACTTAAAAACTTGACTCAGAGAATTCATAAAGACAGTGATGTTTCTATCAAGAACCTAAAAGTTAATTTATAAAGAAATGGTAAATGGGCATTTCTTCATAACCCATGGCAAAATGAAATTTAGGTAGCATTAATTTAGAAGTCAAACAACAAAAATCAGCATTATATTTTCAAATTTTCACATAGTGCGTGTTTGCTGTGCTGAGAGGTAAATTAATTACAGTACCAACTGAAAACACACACTTTTCTAATTACATACGACTTATATAATCCCCAAAGCATTACTATTATAACTATAATAGGAGTTGTTTTCTCCATGGAAGACTGAGATTAGAATCTGCCTAATCTGGATTAAAAAATGTCTTTTTTTTTTTTTTTTTTTGCAAACATTTTGCAGCTAAACGAAAGAAAGAAATCTATATAATGACGTTTTAAAATAAAATTCAGGTATTTTATATTTATTTAGCAGCATACATAAGCAAAAAAATATGTTCATTAAATTTTGTGATGGTATGTTATCGTAATGCTAGAATTAGTTTCAGAAGGATACCAGAAGAAATTGCCTGAAATTTGAAAGCGCATTATTAACTAACAATTAATAAATTTAGAAGTAAGAAGTCACATTAAATGATACGAATAACATTAAAATAAATTACTTAAAGATGAAAAACTGAATTACCATAATCAACGATATTTTGGCGAATATAATTATCTTAAACAGAAATTATTACTATTTTTTTATTTTACTGCAAAATGGCAAATAAGGCATTAAAAAGGAAAAAAAAAAGGTTTAAAATATTTTGTAAAATCCCAGTATATGGTACAGCCTTGGAACGATTCTGAAAATTGTCGCCAACACCAAAATGACCTATTTACTATTTACTGAAACTTGCTTTGCCATTCTAAAAGACAATCTGATTGGCTCCATGCCAGCTGCCATAAAAAGGCTCACATCATACATAATTCACCAAGAAAGTGATTGCTTCCAAAGATTTTGACTAAAATATTTAAATTCCCTGATATTTTTAGCCAATTTTTGCATTCGTTGATTTTTCCCAGTTTTTCAAGTACCGTGGCAACCCTGTCTCAAATTAGTTGTAATTAATTTTTCTTATTCTTAATTTATTTACCTTAGAAATTAATTATACTGGTGCACTCTTTAAAATAGCAATGGCATATGTTTCAACAGCAAAAGAAAACACATCACTTCAATTTTGAATGAAACCAAGAAATGATTAAAATTGAAACCATACTTAGTATATTGAACTGAAGCCATGTGTAAACTGCAGGTGACAATTATGACACTTTTCACTTTGAAGGTAAAAAGAAAGGAATAAAGGGAACTAAAATGTGTCTTATCTAAGAATTTAATCACGGTATTTCAAAACCTGCATTTATGAAATAAAAGGCTCTGCAGATTAATTAATGCTTGATTTCTAAAATATCAGTTAAATAAGATGCAGAAAATACTTACCATTTACAAAAAATATAAAGATAAAAGTGATATATCCTGTAAATACTAAAGAAACTACGACAACTTACCTCAGAAAGTAAAGCACAAGCTTGTTTTGCATCTTTTTCTTCTAGAACCCGAAAGCCAGGTGTTTTTGGCGTCTTTAAATGAATAAAGAAAACAACAGTTGCAAATAAATTTTACAGAGAAACAAATGTTCTGAAAATGGAAAAAAAAAATGTAAATGGTTACCTCAGGCAATTTATACAGTTTTAAAGTTCGTTGTAAAGTCATGTTACGGCTCAAGTGTGAAAACTTCACATCTATAAGTTTACGAGGATTTAATGAACGATGCCAGTATCTAAAATACGAAGTAATTTTAAAATAATTAATATAACAACAAAATAAAAAGCATAAATTGCAATTAGTTATTATGCTAAAACACAAAGCTTTCTTTAACTTTACAAACAACAAGAGTAACTTAAGAAGCAACACTTCTTAAATAAATTTCAATGACTACACAAATTACATTACAGTAATAAGATATTACAAACCTGCATGTGCCTATAGGTTTTGGAAGAACAACTCCAGCAGTATACACAGCTTGAAAAATTCCTTCTAAATTTACCCTCCTAGTAATCTCTCTAATTAAAACAGGAGCAACTCTTTTTGATCGCAGTTTCTTGTGAACACAGAGGAAATTAATTTCTACAATTTTTCGCTTTCTGTAATACAGGAGGAAAAAATACACATATATAATATATATTTTATATAAAAAAGAATTATTAATTATTGCAAATATGAAAAACATAAATTATAAAAAGTGTTAATAAAACAAGAATACATATAGAAATTTTATAGAAACCTATATGTACACTGCACGCAAAAAAAAAGGGGGGTGGAATCTATATCTCCCGTTCTACTGGGCCGATTAAAGAAATTCAAATTGTGTTTAAAGCGTGATTTAGGATATATATTAGATTGATATATAGCATCATTCTATCATAAGTATTTTGACACAAAATGGAACCTTTTTTCTGAAATAACATACCAATTTTTCCATATTTCAATTTAACGACTCAAATTATGCCTAAATATTAAATTTTGTAAAATTTAGTACAAAATTTAAGGAGAAATTTAAAAATTTATCTTGGCACATTTTATTCAGTTTACGCCAAGAAATTCACTTGGCGAACTTCTCAATATATTGCAACCTATTTTCCTTTCCTTATCATTGTGCAGGAGTGGGGAAAAAAGTCACAGCGTACATCGTTTCTACTTTCAAATAATTTTAACATAAGTGCCTAAGCCACATTTGATGTTATTATCAACTTCAACAAATATGCCAAATTTCAAAACACGCCAATATATAAATTTACGTATATCTTCAAAAATTTTGAATAAAAAACTTTGAAATTTTTAATAAAAACAAAAATTTAAAAAAAAAATTTTTGCAGGTATGCTTAGAAATACATCTACTTTAAGATGATAGTAAAGTGGATGTATTAATGATGATGCTAAAATTTTTATAGATTATAATTCAAAATTTTTCGAAAAATTTATAAAAATTATTTTAAAATACAAAATTTAAAAATAAATCATAAAAAAAATAGGCGAATTGTATTTGGAATGAAGCTAAATTTTGAATTGTGGAAGAAGGAATCAAGTAAATTTAATCAAAAAGGAGATATTAATAAATATATATCAAATTCAATTAACATTGAGGAGCTAAAATTCTGAGAACTAATTTTTAAAAAACTATTTGTGCAATTTTTACAAAACTTTGCAATTTGGCCTAGTTTGAGTTGTAGAATCGAAATTTGGGAAAAAAAATTGGCATGCCATTTCAGAAAAAGTCCGATTTTGAATCAAAATATCTATGTTGAATGATGCTATATATAAATCTAACGCATATCCTAAGTCGTGCTTTCGAGACATGAAAAACATAATTCGAATTTCGTCAACTGGACCAGGAGAATGGGAGATATAGAACTGTCTCTTCCTTTTTTTTTTTTTTTTTTTTTTTTTTGGGGTGTACAAACAGACATTTAAAGGCAAAAGACAGAGAGAAGAATTAAATAATGCACAACATTCATTAGTTTCAGTATACTTTCATATGTAACTGGCCAATACATTAAACACGAAAATTCTCAGTATTTTAAATTTCATAGCTGCAAACTTTAAAACATGAAAATTCAGGATATTCACCCACCCAAAACTGGTAGTTTCTGAGAAGTTTTCATGCTGCGCAGTGCCACCATATTAAAAGTACTCAAAATTGATTTAAATTCAATTAATGCTCAATTTCAGTTAATCCAACTATTTATATTATGATTCTGACATAAAATATATTAATTACATATTCTAACTTCTATGTTCTTCGTCTACTTTCATTTTATAATTTCTTACACTTTTATATTGAGGAAACTCACAGTAGGGAAGGAAAGCTTCAATTTATCAAAGTGCATTTAAACATGGTAAAAATAAAATTCATAATTAATGTAGATACTATTGTGTGGATAAACATAATAATGCACCATACATTTTTAATACACTTTCTCCCTCCTTAGAGCATGCCATCATTATGTAATTGGAAGCCCATTTTGATAACAATTGGAAGATCTGGAATTCAAATCCTGATGAACGCAATGGATATTTTTTATGTTTCTTGTTCAAAGTGGACCTACTAACTGCACATATTGATCAAAACAAAATGAAACACAAATATTAACTGATACAACATTGGTTGAATCTTCACAAAATGTTCAACAAATGTGTACAGTAGACTAAGATAATTCAGATCAAATAAAATTTAATAAGAAAAATTATGTTAAAGATCACTAGGAGTGGGAGGGTGTGAAATCTGCACATTTTAAGCTTTCTTAATTCAATAATAAAACTTAATTGTGCAAATTTTATTAGCAAAATTTAATTTTATTGCTGAAAAACTGGCAGCTATGTTATTTCTATTTACATTGAATTATTAACCCAGTTTGGCAATCTAGCAATGCAAAATATATTTAACCTTTTGATGATTATCAATGGGCTCAGCTTGCATTCCAGTTATGCATAAAAGAACACAACTTTCATTACAAACTTATGACTGACAGATACTGTGCATATTTGGGAAGAAAAAAATTTCTTAATCTTGCAACTAGTGAAGGATTAAATTTTAAATTATATATCTGCACAGCTTTCAGATTCAAACTTCAATTATTAATACAGTACAAAGTCTGAAATCCGGACGTCCATTATCCGGAATGATTTAAAATCCAGACCTCAAAGCCACAAACTTTTCTTTTGGCATGCTGTATGCAAGCGCATTTGATTTTTCCTTCCATAATAAAACGTGCGGAGATTTTCACTCAAAAATTCCGATTCTTAATTTCACTTAGGCACTAAAAATACATCGTTATGAAAAAACAATCATGTACGCATAAATTTGCGAGATTAATAATTTGGCTCCACAGCTGAGTGTCTGCTTAGCCTTACATCTCAAACCGAAACATTCACCTATTTTATATCCCTGACGACGACATGGCAAGTCATTATTTATTATATTTTGCTTTCAACACTGCATGCTTATCGATACATGACAGCTTCAGTAATAACTCATACAGTGATGTCTAAATTTTTTTTTATATTAGTAATTGAATAACAAGAGCAAGGCAACCTTTTCTGCTAACATTACACTTGACGATGATTATAGATTTTTTAAATGCTCTAAGAAATGTTGACGAGAAAAATTCAACAAAAAATTTCTTTTCATATGCTAAAATTAGAGGTTAGTCAGTTAAACCTGCAACATAGCAGAGCAGCTTCATACAATTTAGCTGCTCAATTAGGTAAGCAAGGCACTTTTGTTGCCTTAATTCAAGAACCTTGGGTGTACAAGGGTAAAATCCTTGGTAGGCCCATGAACGCGCACTTCTTTTCGACAGAGGGACCTGATAAAAGACCTAGAACTAGCATTTATGATCAAATGGCGGAAGAGTAATGGGCAATTTTTGCCTAAAAATATAAAGGCTATGAAATTATCCCAATTTACATCAGAGGACTTAACTGCTATTTTAATTAAGGACATAAACAGTTCACTGAAAGGAAACATTTGTTTTTGCTCGGTTTACATGGCTTACGACCTTAACATTCCGCAAGAATTTATAGATCTTGTGAGTTTCTGTGAAATAAACAATATTCCTATGGTTATTGGTGGTGATGTTAACGCTCACCACCTGTCATGGGGCAGTTCTGATACTAATCCTAGAGGAGAAAAACTCATGGAACTTATAATGAATACCAACCTAACTTGGGTAAACAGGGGAAATCGCCCCACCTTTGTTAACAGAAGAAGAGAAGAAGTCATTGACCTCACATTAACTTCTTCTGATATTTATAACCTTATTGAGAATTGGCATGTAAGTGACAATCCCTCACTTTCTGACCATCGCCTTATACAATTTTGTATTAGAGATGAAATTCCAGCTGAATATTTCAGAAACATTAAAAACACAAATTGGGACCTTTATAAGGATTTCCTGGTTTCTAATGTCATTAACCTTCAGGTTTTAGACAATAATTGTACAGTCGAGGAGCTTGATACTCAAGCAAACAATTTGACAAATATCATTATTGAATCTTATCATGCATCATGCCCTCTTAAACGAAGGAAGTACTCTCCTAACAAGAGAGTTTGGTGGACCAAGGAGCTTGAAAGCCTCCGCCTAGAGGTTTGGAGAGCTCACAGGAAAGCAGTCAGAAATAAATCTGAAGTTAACTGGTCTAACTTCAAAATTCCTACAAAGGAAAACTTTAAAAGTGAAATCAGGAAAACTAAATACAACTCATGGAGATCGTTTTCTGCACAGATATTCTGTCCTACCATGAGACTGCCAGAGTATATATAAGATTCTTTAAAAAGATCTCAGGAGTCTCAACTCTCATCGGTTATGCGACCTGATGGCAGTTATACTATAAAACCCCTTTGGATACACTTTCGACCATGTTGAATTTTCATCTGGGGGACAAAAGTGTCACCTCTGACCCCCAGGAAAATCCATTGGAACTACTTCATAATACATTAGATCTGGATTTTGCTAAAACAATTGTGAATTTTGAAAAGGCTAAAGCGGCTCTTGATGTATTTCTTCCCTTTAAATCTCCAGGGAATGATGATATTTACCCAATTCTGCTTCAGAAAGGCTGGGATATTTTTGGTCACATTCTCGTGGACATATTCAGGTCCAGTTTGATTTTAGGGGATATGTTCCTAAGGTTTGGAGAACTTCACGAGGTGTGTTTTCTTCCTAAACCAGGAAAAGATACATATGAGAAACCAAACTCTTTTAGAATGATCACGCTAACATCCTTCCTCCAGCTTAAGCTGTTGGAGCGATTGATTTTCTGGCACCTCCAGTCAGATAATAATCTGAACCATACCTTTGGGCTTAGACCAACACGGTGTTTAGACCTGGCTTCTCCACTGAGTCGGCCTTACACCAACTCGGTGTGGAGAATAGAAAAAACATTATAGATGGACACTTTGCCATTGGGATTCTACTGGATATTGTAGGAGCCTTTGATAAAAATGCATTGCTAAAGGCCTTTGGCTTTGAGAAAATACATAAGGCCCTTATTGGAAGTCATATTCACCCTATGATAACTAGATGGGTCATCTTCATGATTAAAAACCAAAACAAAAAAAAAAGATATCCAAAAAAGGAATATCTGTGTTAGTCTCGCTGACTATGAAGTAAAGAGAGATATTACTAAAGGGTGTCTTTCTCCGTTCCTGTGGAACCTGGTATTCGACTCTCTCAGTACTTCTACGGGAGGAACCTGGCATGTCACAGGCTTATGCAGATGACCTTATTGTGTTATTACAGGGTTTCGATATCGGAATCCTACATAATCAAGCTCAGCAGATCTTAAATAAAGTTTCACACTGGGGTGACCAAATGGCCTTTCTTTCTCTGCTGAAAAATCTGAGGTCAGAGTTTTCACGTGGAGAAGGAAATGGAAACTGGCAGATTTATATCTGGGTTACCAGATTATTAGGCGTAAGGAATGCGTTAAATACCTAGGATGTTACCTGGATAGTAAACTTACATGGATCACCCACATAAAAGAAAAGGCACAAACGGCCACAAATGTTCTAGTACTTTGTAGGCGAATCGTTGTTAAACAATGGGGCCTTAACAAAATCTACTCTATGGATTTATACTGCCATAGTCCGGCCAATGCTTTCTTACGGATGCGTGGTCTGGATTAATGTTATTAACAAAAGCACGTATTTAAACATTTTACAAAAGGTGCAAAGACTTGCTTGCCTAAGCATTAGTGGGGCTTTAAATAGTACCCCTACTGCTGCATTAGAATTTTTACTGCAAATTCCACCCTTGAAATTATTCTTGAGCGGAGAAGCAATTAAAGCCATGTATAGATTGAATAAAAATGGCACATGGTGCCAAAGGACAGGTTTTGGTCATAAAAGCCACCTGAAAAGCCACATTGACATATGTCTGGACTTGGGCAATGAGATCCCTATAATCTATATGCCCAAAGATGCAATTACTAAAACAATAGTTCCAGATAAACTATTCTCAACTCATATACCAAAAAGGAATGAGATAGAATCTCTAATTGACCTAATTCCAACAGGATCAATTGAATGTTACACAGATGGATTAAAATCCAACTTCACTGGAGCTGGAGCTATTATAAGGACCAAGGGATCTGAAGAAGATTTCATTAGATTTCATCTATACCTTGGTAAATTAACAACTGTTTTCCAAGCCGAGGTTCTGGCGATCAATATGGTCGCCAGGGAGCTCTTAGCTAAAAATACAGTTGATAAGTATATATATATTCTCTCTGACAGCCAATCAGCCATCCTTGCCCTGGCTAATCATGTCAAGTTACAAAACTGTGTTTTGAACTGTACTCAAGATCTCAATTCTCTGGCTCAGGCCCATAATACCATTAGTTTAGTCTGGGTCCCAGGTCATTGTGATTTTGCTGGAAATGAACTAGCTGATAAAGTAGCTAAAGATGCTTCGCAACTACCCATGTCTGGCCCAGAACCATTTTATCCAGTTTCATATCAAATGGTTAAAAAAGAAGTAAGGAGCTGGATAAAGAACAAACATAATGATATATGGTCTAAACTACCAGACTGTGCTCATTCTAAATTGGTGCTCAGTACACTTAACTTTTCAGGTAAACTCATACACCTCAGTAGAACTAACTAATGCCAGGTAATTCAAATTGTTACTGGACATGCTTATCTAGCTAAGCATCTCCACAAATGTGGTCTTGTCGAATTTCCTCTCTGCCCAGCTTGTGGAGAAGAAGAGGAAACACCTTTTCACTTTCTGGGACGATGTCCGGTGTTCTCTGTCCCTAGAAACAAATTCCTTGGGTTTCCCTATATTACCTTTGATCAAGCCCTTTTATACAAAGGGCTCTCTGGCATAATAGGGTTTCTGATGTATACTAAACACCTACAGGTAAGGTGAATATGAAACCACAAGAAACAAGCATTGAGACACCCTATAAGTTCTTTTCTTTTTTTTTTTTTTTTTTGAAAAGAAACTATGCAGGGATTTCCCTCTCATAGCTGTGTTTTGGAATATAATTTGAAAACAGATATCAAATCTTTATACACAACCTGGCCATTTGGCTTGAGAATGCACCTCTGCCCTCCTTTTTTATTTATTTATTTATTTGACTCTCCATCGCACTCTTGTTTGGTCAAGAATTTGCGTTTGGTGGTTTGGGAGGGATTGAATCGGTTTTCCATCCAATAGGGAAGTTTTCACGATCCAGCTGACACCTTGAACTTAGAGATGGGATCTTTTGCTGATACTATAGATTTGGTGTCAGTTTGAGATCCTATCTATTTATTACTTACCTTTTACGGGAGTTACCATTTAAATCCCTTGATTTAAATGATCAAATGACGGAAGAGTAATGGGCAATTTTGCCTAAACTCCTTTCCTTCTTTTCATAAGAAGGAAGCGCCCCTATTGTTATTGTTGCTATGCTAAAAATAGATTTTGTTAATGAAACTCATAGGCCAAAAGATTACATTTAGTGCTATTTTAATTAAGAATAACTGATATGTTATTCACCATAAACCCAGACACGACGGCAGAATTTTAGGAAGGCACAATTTTTGAAATTTGGGAAAGCACCGAGTGGGAAAATTAAGGGATGAGAAGTTTTTTATAATTTAGAGGGGAAAGCACTGGGATCCAATGTTTAGGTGCAGCGAAAATTTAAAACTTAGGAAGGTGCTTTGTAGCAGAATTTAGAGACTGCACCAGGCGGTATCTAGTGCCGGCCGTAGATAAAGCCTTAAGTATCTGTGGGAGTTTATTTATTCAGGATTCAGATTAGTTTTAAGCATGAGCAAGAAATAAATGTAAGTATAGTAAATAACTAATACAATTTAGGCTTATTCAGCACGCAATGAGAGCAAGACAAAATTTAGTGGAACAACTTGGCTTTTGTCGCCAATCTTGTGATACGCAGCCAATAATGTATAACGGATGCTATTATGCTAATTGATTTTAAGGCATTTCAGTTAATGTAGCAGACTGCACTACTCCTTAATCTTCTAATTTGATCCGGCTTATTATTTTTTGCAGACAGATAGCAATTTTATAAAAATATTAAGCTTGAACTTTAGATTATATCGAAAAGAGTTTCCAGTTCTGGAGCTGCTAAAGGATCTACAAAGTGAAACCATGTTTCGATGTCCATTAAACAAAAAGTGGAATTGCTGAAAAAAAAAAAAAAAAAAGATAAAGGCATATCTGTTTGAAATTATGCGAGGAGTATGGTATTGGAAAGTCAACTGTATATGACATAAGAAAAAGGAACTTTTTGAATTTTTTATGGAAGCAACTTAAACAACTTACATGGAAAGAAATGTTTAATAAAGCAAACAAATAAATATTAAGATTTTGAACCCTTTAGAACATAATTGTTCTTTATTTCATAAATTACGATTTCATATTTTTAATTGCATAATTTCTGCATGCCATCTTACCAGAGTTTAAATTGATGATCTACCCAGAAAAATCTCAAATCCGGATCGAAGTCCCGACGAGCCTGGATTTCAGACTTTGTACTGTAATATGCTTTTTTATAATTTAATATTAACAGTATTTTAAAGTACAACACAAGAATTCTTTTTAAGAAAGTGAATTTTGTTACAATATAAGTAAAACACATATATTATATAAAACAATTGTTTTTATTTACAGCAAAAAAAAAAAAAAAAATTACTTCCATTTACACAAAGTGTTATAAAAATTACTAATTAAGCTACTGCATATATGGCCAGTTTGAGAACTAAAAAGACATTTCAGATAAATAGTCTTAAAGCCCTTTTTCACTGTTTTCACCCAGTAAAACACCTGAGAAAAAGATGAGCTAGTCTTAATTTTTTTTTTTCATATATGAAACAACATACATTAACATATAAAATTTCTTACTTTCCATATATTCGAATCAATGCTGGAACAGCACTTATAAAACCTATAAGTTTTTTACTTTTCACAACTCGTACACCACAAAGCCATTGCTTTTGCCAGTGAGGAGGCTGCAAAGCCCTACAAAGAGTTTCAATAAGTTTTAATTTTCATTCTTGATAATTTGTTGTATAAATTATAAATTATTTTAGATTTAGAGAAAAGTTCAAATAATTATTGTTTATATATTCTTTTCCAAATTTAAAGAAAATATTATAACAGGGTTGCCACTCAAACAGGAGAATTGAAATTCCCTGACTTTTGCAGGTATGTTTCAAGAAAATTCCAGTTTATCCGCGTAATGTACGTTGGCTGTGCTAAGAGGTAAATTAATTATGGTATTACTTGTACTGTGTTGCAAATTCACTTAATTATTCAATAAATCCCAGAGGACATTTATTCTTAATTATTCTTGGTACACTTTGTTTGATAATTTTGTTTACTTTTCCACTTAAAAAACTTTATAAATTTAAGATATATACATTGGATAACAACTGTACGTTTTATTTAATTATTACTCATGATCATCCCCAGTTCAACACGAGGCTAATCCGGTTCTTATAAATCACAACGCAATGCTAAAAGTTAGGTTAGATTTTAGGTAAATTTAATTTGTGTGAGGTGTATTCTTAAAAGGCACCTTAACACTTGAAAACAGAAATATTATTATAATAGGAGTTGTTTTCTCCACTGAAGATTGAGATTAGAATCTGCCCAATCTGGAATAAAATAAGGCTTTTTTTGCAGACATTCTGCAGCTCAATGAAAGAAAGAAATCTATTTAATTATATTTTTTTACTAAATTGAGGTATTTTATATTCATTTCGCAGCATACATAAGGAAAAAATATGTGCATTAAATTTCGTGATGTCATCATACTGGTAGAATTAATTTCAGGATTATGCCAGAGAAAATTTCCTGAAATTTGGAAATATTATTACTTTATTATTTGATAAATAAATTTAGAGGGAAGAAGCAACATTAAATGATATGAATAACATAAAAATAAAGATAATTACTTAAAAATTTAATTAGAATAATCAACGATATTTTAGCGAATATAGTTATATTACATGGTTATCCTAGATGATTGATTACTATTTTTTTATTTTACTGCAAAATGACAAGGTATTTATTAAAAAGAAAAAAAAAAAAGATTTTTTTGCGGTAAAATCCTAGTATACGATATGGCCTTCGGATGATTTTGAAAATTGTCGCCAAGAACAAAATGACCCGTTTACTGCTCATCATCATGTCGCCAAATCCCGCTGTACCATACATGGAGATTATTCTAACCAAAGAACGTCTATGTAAAAAACAGAGGGAAAATTTGCCAAGGGATTTGGCGACGGAACCTGGCGGCCAGAATTTCCCTCTCCGCGATGTGTACAGGAAATTGAGAAACACGTGTTAAGAAGAAACGTTCTTTGACAAAAAAGAAAACTACGAAAATCCGTTTTTAAATTATTGCGAAAAATCCAAGAAGAAACGTTTTTTCTTGGATTTTTCGCAATAATTTTAAAAACGGATTTTCGTAGATTCCCCCCCTCAAAATAACTAATCCATGAATTAATTTACTTGCGCCAAAAAATATTTTCTTTTCCTTTAGAGTTTAAAGAAATTTTAAACGATATTCATTTTATGAACTCTTGATAACGTGACCTTCGAACTTCGACACCGGTTTCGAGCTTTGGCGACAGATATATCGCGCATGCACAGCTGTTTCCCGCTATGATGGAACGAAGAAACGTCTGTTGCAGAGAGGTTTTCTTTCTTTACAATACATATTTTTTTATTCTAACCTTCATGGTACCGTATACTAGGATTAAACCCATTTTGTTTCATACGAGAACAGGTACTTTCTTTAGTTCATGCACTGCACATGCGATTCTCGAGGTTACTGGAAACCAAAAGTTGCGAGAAACTTGCTTTGCCTTTCTAAAAAGACAATCAGATTGGAGCTGCGAAAATTGGCTCTATGCCAGCCGCCCGAATGACACTCACGTGATACACAATTCACAAAAAAGTGATCTCTTCCGACGTCAGTGCAAAACTCGCCTTTTTTGGCAGGATCGTTGTATGAAATTCCACGACTTTTCCAGATTTTGACTAAAGCACTTAAATTCCCTGACTTTTCCTTGAATTTTTTGGTCAATTTCCGAAGTCCCTGACTTTTCCCGGTTTTCCAGGTAGCATGGCAACCCTGTTATAATATGACATACAATGAAGAGAGATCTGACAAATTTTAATATTATTTTATACATAGTGAAATTATTTAAGATGACCACCCACTCTTTTAAATGCTTTTGTTCTTCTATGGAGCGGCTTGCTTTAGAAAGTTTGCTCAATTTTAATGTCTGTTTAGATTTTAAGAAACACTAGTAATTTTTATATGCCGTTTCTATGGGAGGTAATCATCACAAGAGGTTGTATTTAGTTCTCACTGCTTGATTATAATTTCATTTTCCAAAATATGATAACGACAGAAAAAACTCATTTTTTAAATTATTTTTTTATTTCAAAAGAAGCACAGATCTCACAAGATTATTTACAAACACAGATGTCGGACCACTAGTGACCGAGCCGTAAAATAGCTGAACACTGGTAGTTCGGTCCGAGCTTTGAATCCCATGAAAGGACTGGCTGCATGGAAGTTTTTGTGGTTTTCTCCATGTGTAATGTGTATAAGAGCCAGTTTTCCTTTAGAAAGTCCTCCACGAGGCATCTCTTCCCTTAGGCAGAAAGCCATCAAGGCTTTGCCATAATCACACACACACAGGAAAAAAAAAAAAAAAAAAAAAATCCACACACACATAGGCTATTTAAATGAAAGGGAAATATATATACTAGAACAGTGCAGCAAAACACTTAAAAAAGTGTAGATAATATTTTTATCACATGGGAAGGAAATTGGATAAAACCTCTTACAACTGCTTGAATGTTTTACTTCTCTAAATCAAGAAAATCAAACAATGGATTCTTTGGCATAAAATATTGTTGTGATGTAGACATTAAGGTATTGTTGACAACATATGCACATTTAGACACAAAAGCAAGACAAGATACTACTAAAACCGAATGTCATAGAAACTCACATTTAAAAATAACGAAATCGAAGGCATGTTTGTTCAAATAAAAATATGTTATTTATAGAGACGAATTTGTATATATGACATGCAAAGCAAGCCAGAAATGTGACTACATATTTAGCAGCTTTATGTGATGATATTATTATGGTTATGGAAACAGAGACTAAAAATCAATCCCTTAAAAAGCTGAAAACAATATGTAATTAATGCCAACCACAATCGTTTTTCGTTTTTTTCGTGGGCTATCAGTCATTGCTTCTACAATCATTATCAATGTCACTGCATCACAACCATTGTAAGTCTTTTCTTAACATTTCATTTTCTGAATTTTTTCACGGTAAAGCAGGAGTCAGTATTGGCCCCTTGGAAGTTGATGAAATTTCAAAAGGGATCAATGACAATCAAGGGATTAAAAGCTGAATATGGACAGGCCATTGCTAGGCACAATCCAGATTCCATTAATTACGAAAAATTTATTAATAAATATCATAATTGTTTAATTACATAAAGCTGCATCTTGTAGTATGGAAGAATTCACATCAAATTAACACAAGGGAGAAAATACACAAAAACAGTTTAATGTATTTTAAAAATCAATAAAATTTTTTTAAATATATAAATTCTTTGTATGACATATGCAATAAAATAAAGTGAAATGCAGGAAAACACAACCCCCCCCCAAAAAAAATGAAGAACACAAAATTTCCTCAGAAGATATACAGTTATGTACAAGGTGATTACAAAACTTAAGATTTTACATTTTGCTTCTAAGATATTAAAAATCTGAATATAAATGCAAGGCTCAAAGAACCACTAAACTGTGATATATCTGATCTTGATTTTATGATGCAAAAAGAGCTGATTCCAATGAAGGAGGATATCCAAATCTTAATCAAAACATATATATGCATTAAGTTTTCGAATTTAAAGGACATTCCAAAGAAATACAAACAAACACAAAATAAAAGTGTTACCGAAACATATTCGTGACTTTCCTTTTCTTACTTAGTACAAGCTAGCTTTAGGTAAGTCAATAATTTACTGCAGAAAACAAGCAACAGGTTGAATATTTTTGTCTGAGGTAATTCAAGAACTAAATTAAGCAATTTTATGTCAAAAATTAAAAAAGTTGCAGCCATCATGCTAGTTAAAATCAAACTTTATGCAATTAGAATGTTATTTTATGTGTTGAGACCTCCCACAGAGGGCGTTGTAGCACCCCTTAACTGTGTGAGAAAAGTTTCGATTTGAGCCAAAGTTGGCGTGGGTTTTGAGAATTTAATGTGAAGAGCTGTGTAACAAATATTTATTATGTTATCTGTACTATATAATATAATGTATATAATGAAATATGTTTATTTAAAATGTGGAGCAATTTTGAAGGAACATACATCACATTTTTTGGAGCTACTAGTCCTTAGACCATTTCCTTCAGAAGGACTGTGACATTTGCTGGCAACTGCAAGTTCACACAAAATGGCATCGTGCTTCAGTAAATATTAAAATAAATGATATAGTAATGATTAAGGAAGATAACACACTCTCCTTAAAATAGAAACTGAGACATATCACCAAAATTTACCTAGGTAATGATTACAGAGTTTGTGTTGTAAAATTAAAAACTGCAGATGGTGAATTCAAAAGAACCACTCACATTCACAAACTGTATGTATTACCAATAGACAGTTAAATATCATGAAAAATTTTGAACTTTGATATTCATTTGAATTCTTGAAGTTTTAATGTTATTATGTTATTAATTAGTTATGTTATTAATTTTGTGTAATTCATTGTTTACATTTATATTTTTACTTAGTATTACCGTATTTGACGGCATATAAGATGCACTTTTTTTCCTAAATTTGATCTCAAAAACGTTACCTGCGTCTTATATGTGAAGGACACAGTCTTATACGTGAAGGTAATTGCATTCAATAATTGTTTATTTGGGTTTTACGAAACGTGAGAACTAAAAGAAACCACGCTATTGAAACTTTTTTTTCCTTGTGTCTGGCCGTCTAAATACACTGAAGTGACAAAAGTCATGGGATACCTCTTAATATTTTGTCAGTCCTCCTTTTGCCCGGCGAAGTGCAGCAACTCGACGTGGCATGGACTCAACAAGTCGTTGGAAGTCCCCTGCAGAAATAGTGAGCCATGCTGCCTCTATAGACGTCCAAAATTGTGAAAGTGTTGACGGTGCAGAGTTTTGGGCACGATGATGTCCCATAAATGTTCAATGGGATTCATGTCTGGCGATCTAGGTCGCCAGATCATTCGCTGGAATTGTCCAGAATGTTCTTCTAACTAATCGCGAACAATTGTGGCCCGGTGACATGGCGCATTGTCATCCATAAAAATCCCATCGTTGTTTGAGTACGTGAAGTCCATGAATGGCTGTAAGTAATCTCCAAGTAGCTGAAAGTATCCCTTTCCAGTCAATGATCGGTTCAGTTGCACCAGAGGACCGAGTCCATGCCATGTAAAAACAGCCCAGACCATTATGGAACCACCACCAGCTTGAACAGTGCCTTGTTAACAACTTGGGTCCATGGCTTCGTGGGTTCTGCGCCACACTCGAACCCTACCATCAGCTCTTACCAACTGAAATCGTGACTCATCTGACCAAGCCACGGTTTTCCATTTGTTTAGGGACCAACCGATATGATCACGAGCCCACGAGTGTCGCTGCAGGCGATGTCGTGCTGTCAGTACACTCGAGTCGGTCTTCTGCTGGCATAGCCCAAAGAAAACAAATTTCGCCGCACTGTCCTATCGGACACGTCCCTCGTACGTCCCACATTGATTTCTGCGGTTATTTGACGCAGTGTTGCTTGTCTGTGAACATTGACAACTCTACGCAGACGTCGCCGGTCTCGGTCGTTAAGTGCAGGTGGTCGGCCACTGCGCTGTCCATGGTGGGATGTTATGCCTGAAATTAGATACTCTTGGCACACTCTTGACACTGTGGATCTCGGAATGTTGAATTCCCTAACGATATCTGAAATGGAATGACCCATGCGTCTAGCTCCAACTACCATTCCGCGTTCAAAGTCTGTTAATTCTCGTCGTGCGGCCATAATCAGGTCAAAGCCTCTTCACATGAATAACTTGAACACAAATGAAAGCCCTGCCAAAGCACTTCACATTTATACATTTTCTACGCGATACTACTGCCATCTGTATATTTGCATATTGCTATCCCATGACTTTTGTCACTTCAGTGTAAGGGTGCGTCTTATATGCCGTCAAATACGGTACTCAATTATATGCAAGAACTGTTTAATCTAGAAATTATGTGTTTATTAAGAATAAAGTTAAGTAATAATTTCATGTAAGAGATAGTTTGATGTCCTTGAACAATCATCCATGGGAAGCATGTTGAGATCTCCCATAGAGGGCATCGTAGCACCTCTCAACTGTTTGTGAAAAGTTTCGATTTGAGCCATAGTTGGCGTGGTTTTTGAGAATTAAGTGTGAAGAGCTGTGTGATGCATATTTGCTATGTTAACTGCATGTATATAATTAAATATGCTTATTTAAAATGTGCAGCAATTTTGAAGGAGCGTACTTCACATTGTGTCTCAAAACTTGTCTGTATTTGTAAAATTAAAAATAATAATAAATCTAACAAATCATATTTTAAAAAGTCTTGTTAATATTCTTAATGTAATCATCATACTTAAGTTATTTACACAAAATCATTTGTATTATGATTATGTGGTGTGCTGTAAATTATAGTGAAAATGTAAGGGGTGTCGATGAAGAAAACCACTCTTTTAAAAGGCATCGATGCAAGGAAAAGGCAGGGATTTCCCTATTGTAAAGTATTTTGCCTTTTCTCATTATCAATAGAAAAAATACTACATTATTAAATTTAACATCAAATTTTGCCAGTCTCACAACCTCATGATAATTCTCGTATGCAATATCCCCACATTGCAATTAGCTGTTGCATATTCAGTGTCAATTAGGCTAATGATGTAGATTAGATATATCACTTATTTTAAACAAAAAAATGAAGTTTCAAGTTTAATATACCATATACCATTTCCTTAATATATTTCATTCTTTAATATTGCAGACACCATTTCCTTAATTCATATCGTTAACACTTAAAAATTAAAATAATCTAAATGTAAAATAACACACATAACATGAACACAGTATTAAAATATGTAATAATTTATACAAAATTTACAATTTCAAATGTAAAATCGTGCATACATGTTTACAAAGGAAATGTATTCAATTATGATCATACTTAAAAAAAATCATTACCATTTCAGGAAACCTGGAGAATAATCAAACCTAAACATGTTATCATCATCTTCAACATAATTTTCATTTAAAAGAGTATAAAGTTCCAGTAACTACAAAGGGGGAAAAAAAAGTTTACTTCAAAAATTTTATTCAAATAATGCCATTTTATGAGCACTACAAACACTTCAAAAGGTATCAAACTGAAAAAAATTCCCATTGATATAATACACTGGCCAATGATTTAGAAACTTATGAGATTTTCATCTGAATGCATGCTAAGGTTGAAGTATACAATTTTTTTTATGACGTCAGTTACATGTGGTTAGAATGCTAGTATAAGTAAGGTGTAAGAGTGCCTTTCACAATGAATGATGCAAAATAGGAAAAACGGCAGATCTTTCAGCATTTGAAAAAAAGCTTATTGTTGGTGCCCATTTAGCAAGGGCCTTGATTTCGAAGACAGCAAATCTCACTGGGTTCTTAAAAGCAGCCACATCAAAGGTTTTCAAAAGTAGAAATCAGAACTCGCAGCCCTTATCTATAAGACATTAACTACGGTTTGAGCACAGTCTTCCAAAAGAATGATCGGCGGCGTCTCCAATGAATTGTACAGTAGAACAGAGAATCTACTGTGCTTCAACTGACACAGATTGTCAACCTAGGCTCTTCCCAACAGATTTCAGCTCGAGCCATACACAGAGAATTGCAGTGGACAAGAATGCATAGTCGGGTGCCTGTGAGAAAGCCATTCATTTCTGCCCGACATGCAAGAATTCGTTTGCAGCAGTGTTGGGAAAGAAGACACTGGTCATTTGAGGATTGGAAAAAGGTAATGTGGTTGGATGAATCGTGCTACACCTTACTTTGCACTGATGGAAGATGCCAAATTTTACGTGAACCCCATAAAATCATCTTACCTTACTCGCACTGTGCAAGGGCGAGGATGCACAATAATACAACTATATATCATGCCAGAAATGCTCAAAATTGGTTTGCAGAACAACAGTCTGACTTCCAACACCTTCCCTTGCTGAATAAGCCGGATCTTAACCCCATAGAAAATGTATGGGATGTGGTGGAACATTCAACAGCTTCTCTCGTCTTCCATCTAATTTACATAATCTAAAAAGGTGAATAGCCAATGCATGAAATTCTCTGGACGTAAATGAACTCCAGAAGCATGTAGACTCGATGCCCAAAAGAATGAGAGCAGTTATCTGTGCAAAAGGTGGTCCAATAAGATATCTCGGGTATCTAATTCATTGGCTACTGTGTGTATTTAGCCAGTGTGGCATTAAAAATGAACAGCAAATATAAACAACTTAAATCTGACATATTATTTCATTTAAAAAAACAATAAAACAGCTTACCACATTGGCATTATCAATATCAAGAGTGTCCCACTGAAACCCTTGAGGTAAAGTAAGAGGTTCTTTTCTTATATCTTCAATACACTTATCTGGCTCTATTGGTTCATTTGCATCAGGGCTTATTTCATCTCCTACCAGAGAAATGGAAATTCCTCAAAATAAATTATAAGTAACAATTTTTATCCTAATGCTTTATTTGGCATGACTGCTCAGAAACAACATTTGTTTTCTCTATTAGCTCATTAATATACAGTAAAAAGCCCCAAAATATGTATGTCCAATGTAGGGAATGATCTAATATCCAAATCTTTGGACCAATAGCAATTTTTTGTGTGTGTCAAAAAAGAGAATGAATCAGATTTAGAGAACAGTGTCTTGCTTTAGTGTATGCTTAATGCTTCATGCATATATAGTAGACATTTTTTTCATAGTACAGCACATGGATGGATTCTTAATTTCACTTTGCTGTTAAATGAAACACCTCCATGCTGAAGAAATACTTAACATAAATCAGCTATAATAAAAAATCTGGCTTCATAGCTACCTTTTTGCTTGGTATACAACTTGAATACTATCCAAGTTCATCACTGATTTTACACTTACTGAATAACTTATAGTCTGACTACTGATATAACTTATATTAACTGGTGAATCATTTCTTATTATTTGTTGCTTTCATCAAGCCAACTGCACAGGGTAATGTAGAGTGCTGACAAGGAGAAATTTCTTTCCATACGTAAAAAATAGATTTTGCAAATGATATTCACAGGCCAAAAGATTAAATTTAGTATTGACTGAATTAAGAATAACTAATTTGTTCTCCAGATAAGCCTTTGGTCTTAGATAAGGCCAAAGCTTATGTGGGATATAGATATAACTAAACTGATTCCAGCTTTATGTCCTCGCTGCACAATAGAAGCAAGACAAAATTTGCAAACAAAAAGTGAAATTTTCCAATTAACCTTTTGAAGACGGGATGGCCATTATAGTGGCCATAAAGTCCTCTCTTTGAAAAGATGGGGTTGTCCACTTTAGTGGCCATGCCTTCCCCCCCCCATTTTCCAGGCTGAAAAGTGAGGTGAAATGTCAAATTTGACGTCCCTGGGGTTTTAACTACTTATCTCTTTTAAAGGTCTTCCTTTTTGCGACATAGATGCACCCCTCTGAGAATCCATTAAACTACACACAAGAATCTTTTTTGCAAATAGGAGGTGATTTCTTAACATGGGAGGTAGGAAGTAAGAAGGAGTCGCCCTAAACAAGTTTCTCCGTACCCTGCTCTGAAGCACCGGCGATCCCTACGTGGTGACCAAAACATTGGGTCATTTACCATTGAGTTCTATGGGATTTGACGCGTTCGGGTGTAAATATTTTGTAATTACGTCGCAAATATACATATAAATGTATATATTTTCTTTTTCTACAACACTTCAGAGTCCTAAGTATGTGAAAACAACATATTTTTAAACAACATTTCATTCTGAATGGAATTAAATGCTATACTTTTCACAGGACAGTTTTCTCAGAATGGTTTAATTTGAATGAAATATTTTCACAAGTTTTCGTTAATTACATTAGAAAAAAAATTAAGGTAATTCAATTTTATTCGGTTAAGGTACAAAAATTAAGATCAAAGTTTATTGTATTATTAATATTAAAATTATGCATTATTTCTTTTCTATTTATAGAGCTTCTTCCTAAAATACTTTCTTAAATATGACATGATTTTTTGGCTTCTTTTAAATCGAAAAATGTAAGTCAATTTATAATTAATGCTCTATTCGGTTCATTTTAAATTAGAGAATTATTAGGAATTAGCGAAATGCTTTAAATAGGTATTTCGCTAATTCCTAATAATTAAATAGGTATTAAATAGTATTTGACTTTCTCTGAACATTTTTTTTTTTTTTTTCAAAACTTGTAACTGAGTTATTATAAAATGTAAAGGGAATAATTCTTTTAATTATACTTATCAGATTTTTTTTTTTTTTTTTTTTTTTTTTACTCTCCATTTCAACAATACATACATTTCCAAAACTCTTTATTACGTTCTTAAGTGCGCATCTTATAGCATTTGCTTTACAATACCTTTTAACAGATTGCTTTCCAATACGAACAATTCTTGCTTAAATAGTTTTATAACGTATTTGTCAACAGGATTTCAATTTATGTTTACAATTCAATATTAAGGTTATTATATATTTAGATAACATTTATAATCATTATAAATTAGATACATTTAATCATTAGATTTCTTCACAGTACTTTCACAGTTGTTTTATAAGTGAATAAATTCTTCATTTCAAATACATTTATAAATAATTTAATGAATATTTAAGTATTTTGTCAAAGGCAGATACATGCTTTTTGCAAGCACATGCATAAATACCCGTACATATTTCCTATTTATCATTTCCGGCATGTGCAAATCTTTAATTTCTGTGCATTCACTATATTTTTCGTGTAAAGTAATTTACACTAATTTAGCATACACCCGAAAGTTTTACATAAAAAATATATATGAATATAATTTGAATGAAAATTATAAGTATTATTTTTAATACCCACTCAAAGGTCAGTTTTTCTTCAAAATTCCTCCACGATGGCATCTCTCTCTTTTAGGCAGATAGCCCTTGCATGCGTTACTCTATTTAATAAAAACTTAATCTGACCTATGTGCCTAATTACAAATATTTTAACATACATAATTTTATATTTACATTTAGCCATCAAGTTTCAAACTTTTCAAATCTTCTAGAAAATAAATTTTGGCAGATCTCTTTTAGCAATTTTCTTAAAATCTATATTTTTGTAGTGCAACAGCTTAGAATTTTATAAAACAAATTCATAATCAAAATCGCTGTTGTTAGTTATCGAAAAATAACCAAGATATGATTTTTGCGTAAATGTCAGTAAACTATACAAATTGCTATTATCCATCACACTATGAATGTTTCTTTCATGCGAGACTGTCCCTTTTTCGATTTCTATGGAACTGTCGTGTGTCGAAATATTATCAGAATCTTGTCAAGCGAGCTTCTGAATGTAAACAAAGAACACTCCGTCTGGTGACCCAAGCTTCAAAGCAGTGCTTCACTTCTAGCGCGGAATGGCCCCTCCTCCCTTTCCTACCTCCATGTTTCTTAAAGAGGGGAAAGCATTCGGTTCAAGATTCCCCGTCCTTTGGTAGCTTTTACTACTACCAAAGCCCCGGCTTCAAAAGGTTAATGGAATTTTTAGGAGAAGTTTTAACAAATGAAGATGACATTATAGAAGTTTATCTTTGCAATGGTAATGCCCCAATCATCAGTCAACTAATGAATGCGGTAATTTGTAGTATGGTTTTAAATTCAGAAAATATCATTACGAATAGTGAAGAAAGATAGGTTTCTGAGAACAAAAGATGCTCAATTAGTGGGAATATTCAACATTGCAATTGCAGGACTCAAAAACCAGAACCTCGTATCTGAACAAGATACAGTCAAGAGTCGTTAATTCGGACACCCATAATCCGGAATGATCTATAATCCGGACCTCAAAGCTACAAACTTTCTGCGCATGCGCCGTGTTCACGCATGCGCACAGGCGTTTCCGAGAGTGCATAAGACCCTTACAGCTGCGAATATGTTTGTGCGCATGCGCGTTTAATGTGTAACGGAGTTATACGCTAAGCTAAAGTTATCTAATTCAGTTAATGTTGCAGATTGCGTTGTTCCTTAATCTTCGAATTGGATCCGGCTTATTATTTTTTGCAGACTGTTAGAGCAATTTTATAAAAGTAAGCTTGAACTTTCGATTATGTCAAATAGAATTTCGGATATATATTTACTACAAAGCGAAAGTATGTTTTGAAATCCGAAATCTGTTTATCAATTTCACGCTGCGGCAGAGGGGGGGGGCAGAAACGTCATTATTAGATTATGATAGATTAGAAAGATTATGTCAAATAGAATTTCCGATATATATTTACTAATATGTAATTTGTATCTACAAAGCGAAAGTATGTTTTGCAATCTGAAATCTGTTTATCAATTTCACGGGGATTGGAAGTTGATCTGTCAGCACTATCCTTAATCTTCAGAGCAGATGTTTTTATTTTATTTGGTTTATAATTCGGTACTAAGTGTAGTATTTCATCTCGATATACTCCATCTTTGATATAATTTAACAAGAAATTATTGTCTGTTTAATAGAACTTAAAGAGAAAGTATTATCACATGAAACGAAGCAACTTACATTGAAGGAAATGTTTAATAAAGTAAACAAATAAATATTAAGCTTTTTCTTTTTGTAAATTTTGATACCCTTTAGATCATAATTGTTCTTTATTTCATAAATTACGGTTTCATATTTTTAATTTTGTAATTTCTGCATGCCATCTTACCAGATTTAAACTGATGATCTATAATCCGGAAAAATCGATAATCCGGAATCGCCGAAGTCCCGATGAGTCCGGATTAACGACTTTTGACTGTATTATGTATATCTATAAAGTCAAAGAGAAAGTAGTACCACAAAAATGAAGCGATTTAATTAAACAACCTACATTAAAAGAGATGCTTAATAAAGCAAAATATAAATACTGATTCTCTTAAAACCATAAAAATTTCATTATTTCATAAACAACTATTCATATTTTTAATTTTATTACTTCTATGTGTTATGAGATTTAAACTGATGATCCATAATCCCTAAAAGCTCCAAATATTTATTGATAGCATTTTAAATATTTAATGACAGAGGATCACTTTTTTCCCTTCCAAAATTCTACATTTGCTTTGCATGCAGTCACTGAAAAAATGTAACAAAATATAAGTTTTCTGCAATACTGAACAATCAATAACCTTCATTGGCACTCTGCCAAACACCCAGATATATCTAATAAGTTAAAAAAAAAATGAGAATCTGAGGGAATTGAAAAATACTTTATTCTCTAATTTTTTCTTTCTAAATTAATTTAGTGAGGCAAGTTTTTTTTTTTTTTTTTTTTTAAATTTATTTCCCTAACAAGAAAACCTCTTGTAACTATTAGAAACTTTTCCCTCTTTTTTTTATTATCTGCTTTTTGAAAAGGGGAAATAAAAACAAAGAATCCTGCTTTAGCTGAGCAGCTCACTTAGCAAACCTACTTCTTTGAAAAATACACATATGTTTAGAACTATGGTTAGAAAGAAGTTAGATGACAAAACACTGGGCATTATTTTCAAATGATTGAAATGCTTTTTTTCAATAGTTTGAAGTTTGTTTTAAAAGCTTATGGCTTTACAACATAAAACCTCTACTACATGAAATTCTTTCTAGAAATATATTTTTATATATGCTACTTACAATTTCCAAAGAAAGAATTATCATTCAACCTACACTACTGTTGTTCACTTCATAATCATTTATAAGTAACACTTCTATAGCTTTCATGAAAAGCATCAGATGAGAGCAAAAATCAATTAACATATTAGAAAAGACCTGTTATTGCTTCTGGAACAAGTTTAAACTGCTGGTCTTTTTAACTGCAATAATATGCATATGACATATATGGTCATGCAAATGATAAGCAATACATACACACACATACATATATTCGGTCTACCGAGAAGTTCTGCCCGTTTCTGGAATAAAACAAAATACAAATTTTCCTTACAGTCAATAAACTTTATTAAATAATATAATTGCCATTATTATTAATGAATTCTTGCCAGTGTGATGGCAATTTGGATATGCCATTTTTGAAAAATGTTGTATCTTTTGATGCAAAAAATTGAACCAGTGCTTCTTTGATATCTTCTTTCATTTTTTGAATTTTTTTCTCTTCAAAAATTTTTGTAATGACTAAAACCAGAGATAGTTGGAGGATGCTAAGTGCGGTGAATATGGTGGAAGGGACTGAATTTCCCAGCCTAGTTCTGCAATTTTTAACGAGTCCTCAAATTAGCATGTGGCCTGTTATTATCATGACGCAGTATGATGTCCTTCCTATTGAACATCACCGGCCCCTTTTTTTGGCCTGCTGTCTTTAAATTATCCAGTTGCTGACAATACTTCTCCAGAGATAGCTTTTCGTTCGGTTTTAAAAGCTCATAATGTATTCGCCCTCGAATGTCCCACAATATACACAACATTCTTTCATTCAGAGGTTAATTTGGTTTTAGAGGTGAAAGGGATAGGTTTTCTGGGTTCACAATACAATATGCCATTTTCCTTATGATTTTTTTGTAGTTAATCCACTTTTCATCACCAGTTATCATCTGGTTCAAGAAGGGCTTGATTTTGCTCCAAAGACGCAGAGATGTGCATATGACAACTTGGTCATCCAAATTCTTCTGACTTAATTCATGTACCACCCATTTTGAATATATCCACACGATCCTACTTCGAATATGATCCGAAATGGTTTGCTAAGCTGAATTAATCCTTTCAGCGATCTCCGATGTTGTCAGAGAAAAGGATCTTGCTCCAACATGGTCATAACAACACTACTGCCGATCAACGATGGTCACCCAGAACGTGGCTTATCAGAAAGGTCGAAATCTTCTGCATGTCCTATCAGAAACTGTATCTTCAACAAACATTTTCAATAAATTTCTACATGCTTCTGTAGTATTTCTTCTTTTTTGAAATTCATATAAAATACCAGTGGTGTAAATGAACTTTATCAGTAGTCATGGGTACATTATCGCTTCACACTTAAGACCAACCTGAATTAACTTTGTTTTAGTTAAATTTGCTACGTCAGTATCTATATATTAAGCAATAAAAATAGAGAGCCGAACATGCGTCAAATAAATATGTGCTTACGTGTCGAAAACTGTTGCCACAGAATGGACAGAACTTTCCAGTAGACCGAATATATAATATATATAAACAATGTTAAAAATTAAAGAGAGTTTTTTATACAAGAATCTTATATGCTCATTGTTAGCATATCTAAACATACTTTATGTAAGTAGACTTGAATGTAAGATAATAAGGTTCTACTCTTATACACCTGCTACACATTTTAACAGTACTACTGTTAAAATAGTTTTATGTGTTTAATTATTCTTGTTTACACACAGAGATACATATACATAGTCTCCAGTTGCTATCGTTGGCTCTAGACATGCGACTGGCTTCTCTTTCAAGTGGCCGAAAATCATGACAGATACATAATGGAAAAGCAGCCGCAATAATAGCATACAATGATACTTTAATTATCTTAACTAAAAATACAATCTTATATGTTTTTGAAAACACTAGGAAAAAACCAAGCTAGATTATAGTATAAACCAGGGTTGGCCAAACTTCATGTCAGTAAGAGCCGCATGTTTGAATTCAGGAATATTTCGAGAGCCACATCTAGATTTTCTAAAAGCCACAAGTTCATATTTACATCATTACAGAAGTAGTGAAGGTGGTTTTAAATAGAAAGAAATCCATGATAACTTTGTAAAAAGAGTCTACACTAATTAACTACTTTTTTTTGGACACTGAATAGTTTTAGTTTACCATATTTCTTACATATATTTTATATGCACGAGCCGCACAAATTGACTGAGGCTCGCGAGCCGCGCTTTGGCCACCCCTGGTATAAACTATTGGTTTTCAAACCATTTTGCATATAGTGTATAATAACTTCATGCTAAGGATATTTATCTTAACATTCAATATAAAATAAGATGAACTACATAATATATATAATAAATACTTTGATTATTCGCACCCCCACTGAAAAGTAGCGAAAATGTGTTGATGAAGCAACACACCATGTCAGCAAAATATATTTATGCTGCAATTCATTATGTCGACAAAAAGTATTTATGTGACAACACAGATATGCGCATAGCACATATGCATATGAGTACACGTAGATTTGCACTTTGAATTCAATGGTATTTTTTCTGATTAGAATTTCTTTTTGTACAGAGCATATTTTTTCTCATAATGAATCATAATGGACCTGTAAAGTTTTCCAACTGATGAAATAATTGCTTTCTTGTGCAATGGTGTTTTGCCCAATAGTAGAGTTGCAAAAATTTATAATCTATCAAGTTGTACTTCTTAAATGAGTACAACTTGATAGTTTATTTACAAGTAATATTTGACTTCACATGTTTAGTTTCTGAGCTACAAAACATTATTCAAAGAATTTACCTATTTTTGGTACTGGCTGAGTGTCCCAAAATTCAAAATGTTTCCTTGCTGCTTCTTCATGCGTTTTTGCAGGACCCTGATGAATCATATTTAGGTTCAAAAGTTCCATAGCCTTTTTGATTTCTTGCAATTTAGTTGCTGAAAGACCCTGAGAAAAAAGAAAAAGAACTTGTGTTTTTTATAGATAAAAATATTTTTATAGTGAAAATTTAATACATTTGCTGCCTTGTTCTAGTGTAGTGGTATTTCAAACAGTGGGTCAAAACCCCATACAGTATAATCACAAGATGGATAAAAATTGCAAAAAATATCTGAACTGATGGTATATAATTAAAAATTCACATTTACGTAATTATGAATTGATGTCATGAAATTGTTTTTTAGGGCTGTTTGTATTTTATAGACTTTATATAAACAACTATAAAGTTTTAACACCACTGCTCAAGGACTTAGTTTGTTCCTGCATACCCATTAGTTTTACTGTGACAAAATCAAGATAAGTTACATAATTACTGACTTAGATAGAGTTTTGCCTCATATATCAATTAGAAGAAATTTCAGATTACTTTCTGATCAAGTTATTTCATCATATGTATGACAATTAAATGAGACTTTGTCTGGCAATGGTATGATCTTCTACTATGATCAGTTTGTTTTAAGTACAGTTTTATGCTTGTGTCTTGAATTTTAATTCTGAAACTTGTAAGCCTATATCTCAAATTATCTCAATATCACCTTTATCTCAAAATTATTTTAGGTATTAAACTGAAATCTGAATTGAAGATTTTTTAATGGTAAACTTTTCTGAGGTATTAAGATTGTAACTTGAAGTTTATAGATTGCAGTCTTTTATAATTTAATTTTTTTTATCAGCTGATTTTGCCAAACAAAGTTATTCATAACACATATACACACACGTGAAATAAATCAGATAAAACTACATATATATATATAGTGTTTTGATTTTAACATTTATTAAATTCTTTTTTGTATTTATAGGATTATTTGAAATTTATTACTTATGAATTTCAGATTTTGAGCTTTGTAAAAAATCAGTTCTAAATTTCTTACTTTATTTCTTTACTGATAATTTTTCAGCAGCTTAATGAATGAAAATACTAGGCATGATTTTATTAATTTTATTACGTTTTTAAAAAAAATTTTTTTGTAATTATATACATACGTAATATACTAAGTGAATACTGAGTCACGAGCATAAAGCATACTAAGCTATGATTGGTCAATTTAGTTTCAGTTACCTTCTTGAAGAGTGTTTGGAATTTGGAATGATCTTGAATTTGGGAGAACAGATGAATTTAGGGGGGAAAGCACCAAATTTAGAATGTTAATTTTGAGGTCACCAATTATTTTTTAAAGCAGCCATCATATTTTGTTATATCTTATATAAATGAAATAAATCAGGTGAAACTACAACTTTGCATGGGAAGGTGCTTCAAAGGGTACCATACATAATTCGATTTGCATGAAGACTAACATTTCATTTATATATTACAGTAAATTTAGTGTTACACTTTACTAAAAATTTGTTTTCAGTCATTTGTGCACCATACATATTGTATATAAATATATGTACATAAAATGTTGAAAAAACTTTCATTTGCAGCAATAAATACATACTTTACACAACACATTTTATAAGATGCTATACTTTTTGTGAAATTTTTTTTTCTTATACTCATCTTCCTGATGTGCTTTCATAAGTAAATTGATATGCCTTATACTACAGATAAGCTCATGATAAGTAGGTTGGTAAATGATATAGAAGTACATTCATAAGTGGCTCGATAGACATGTACACACACAATGAATAAACTCATAGTTGGCAGCAAACAAGTTAATAAAAGAATTAAAAGCATTCTATTACTTTATACAATGTAGAATAATAATAATAAAAAATTCAGTTTTTTTGCATTCCAATGTATCAAAATGCCAAAATAAAATGCTTAACATCCTAAGTTAATTTTTCTTTAAATGAAAACAAACGTTAGTGCTTAATAACACAAGACAATAAGTAAATACTTATAATCTTTTAAGAAACTACAATATTTAAAGATAAATTATGTCTTAAACACGAGAGTTAATTAAAATTAGACGAACTTTTAAAAAAAGTTTCCTAAAAGTTGACTTTTAGGAAGATTCCATTTATTAAATCACTTAAAGATTTAACCAAACAAACAAAAAATATGCTCTACAATTGTATATAGATTTATTATATATCTCTCTTTAAACCTATATCTAACACGCATTTTATATTTTTCCTTATTTAACTGGCAACAAAATTCTGTCAAAATCAATTCTCAATGTACTAAAATAATTAATAAACATATAATTCCTGTTGGTTTTACTAAAATCCTTTATACAAAGTCATAACTTTTCTCCAAATAAGATGCCTCAGAGTCTTTAAGCTAACACATATATCTACCAGAGTTTATTTGCAGACCTATACAGTCAATTAATCCCTATATTATATGGAAACTGAAATGAAAAACAGTACAAACACTATCAGACTTGAATACTGTGTGATAAAAAAAAAAAAAAAAAAAAAGAAAGAAAGAAAAATATATGAATTAACATTCAGTGTTTGGAACATACTGATAAGCAAGAACTGATGATTATTGTATTTGCACCACCTGATACGCAAGTTGTGCTCATAAACACTAATAGGGCTATATCATATAGTAGAAAAGGTTAGAGTAGATTGAAGGGTGCCCCTTGTATTATCGCGAAGATTTTGTTACATTTATGGGAACCTGAGTAGTTGAATGGGTAAAAGTATATTTACGATTTTTGGTGTTACATGGATACCGAGTTTGTGCAATTCTTTTGACTTGCTATTTTGGCTTTGTGTAACACCAAAAATTGCTGCTACACAAAGACAAAATAACAAGTCAAAGAACTGCACAAGCTCGGTATCCATGTACAAACTGATCTATTTTCACTTTAAAAAATCATCACAAAATTGCACACTCCCTTTATCCATGTACACATCGACCTATTTTCACTTAAAAAACATCAGAAAATTGCACAAACTTGGCATTGCGCACTCCCTTAACCTCCATGTACACATTCATATATCTTCACATAAAAAGTCAAAGGAGCACCCCAATTCTAGGTAAAAGTATATTTACGGAACATTCAATACTCAGGTTGCCATAAATGAAACAACAACTTCGCAATACTACAAGGGGTACCCTTCAGGCTACTTTAACCATTGAATGTTATGAAAACCCTATTATGATGTAATCGGTTACGTGACTGCCATAAATTTTGAATGACAAGAAAAACATTTGTAAGGGCTTGTAATGTGTGTTGGTTAGGAAGTACATTTTTGTTTTGTTTTGTGGTTTAGATGGTAGAATGGCTGAATGTGGTAAGATTAATTTGAAGTTTCTGTACAATTTGGAACGAAAGGGGAAAAGTGAATTAATCGACTGTTGTGTAAATAAAGGTTTATTTAGTAGCCATTATATCGTCCTGCTTTGTAGAAAGGAATTGCGTATGGTTGAACATTGGATGCTACCAGTTGACGTACGGAGGGATACTTTTTATTTTTGTGAATTTATGTGGCGAACGCCGAATATACGGATTCTAGTTCAGAATAATTATATAGAAAGTTTTTGTACACAGTTAAGAAATTTTGTGTGCCACAGACTGAAGGACCCAGAAATTTCTAAATGAAGTGGATATTTGCTTTGTATAGTGCTTATATGAATAAGATGAATTTCCTTTTTTATGTTATTTTATTGTTTGATTCAAAATGTAATTTATTGAGATGGTTTTTTTTTTTTTTTTTTTTTTTTGGCTCTACTGTAGAATTGGGTGCTCCTTTCATTTTTTAAGTGAAAATTGATGGATGTGTACATGAATAAAATCAAGGGAGTGTGCAATGCCAAGTTTGTGCAATTCTCTGATTTTTTTTTAAGTGAAAATAGGTTGTTGCGTACATGGATACCGGGTTTGTGCAATTCTTTGACTTGTTATTTTGTCTTTGTGTAATTAACATGTCAATGAATTGCACAAAGTCGGTATCCATGTACTGCCAAAAATCGCCAGTTTTCGCCAAGGGGTACCTGAATATATTTTTACTGTAGAAAAACATGAATCACATTTATTGACATAATGTGAAGTAAAATATACAACAATATGGAAATTAAAGCTAACCTTACTATTCCTTACTATTTAAGAATATAGAAAACAAAGTTAGAACTGAAAAACAAGCCTTAAAACTTAAAATTTTAGTAACTTAGTATTAAAATTATCAGTTAATTTTTAGTTCATAAAATAGATGTTAACTTAACAAAACATTTTATTAAATCATAATTACAAATGTACGATGCAATATTACCCTTAGGTCAGCAGCTGACATATCAGGAGATTCAACAACTTCAGGGGCAAAATCTTTCGATTTTTTCTTTTTCTTTTTCATCTTTTTCTGCTGACTTCCAGGTAGAAACCTACAAAATGGTAGCAGTGAATACATATGAATATAAAATAACATTATTTAAAATTTCAATACAAACATATTTCTAAAAATCACCTTTTTTAAACAATTAGTCACAGTCTGTTCCAAAATATTTGAAACATTCATCAAATACACTACAAGTTGAGAGGGCGAAACCAAAAGCATAAAGCATATGGCCATCATTTATGAACTGATTGATTCTAAAACACTGTACCCAGTATAATGCAAGTTATTTCGGTACTTTTCCGTTTCACCGGCGCAAATCTCGCCAAGCAGACTTTGTTGGCGACAACATACAGTATACACATAAAAAATGTTAACAAATGTTAATTTTAAGAATTTTATTTTGAAGGCATAAACATTTTAATAGGGTTTAAAAATTTGTAAAAAGACATTAATTTAAAAATTTACTATGCTTTCATGGTTCAAAATCCTGATTCGCCGGTTCGTATCACGTGACCCCAAGCGATCTCATGTAAACTACGCTACAAAAATCTAATTCTCTTAGTAATTATCTACGTTAATTTCAAGTTAAATCTTAATTTGGAATACAAGTTTAAATGCAAGAATTACTTTAATTCGTACGAATAGCTTACTCATAAATTATGTAAAACCGCAGTGCTTTACTCGCTAGTGCATTCTCATTAGAATGGATGAATTTAACCTTTGATTTTGCCTTTTCTATATTTTCGCACTCGGATGAGCGGTGTGATTGCATTCTAATTGCCTTAATTACCGCGAATTGTCTTAGGGGATAAAATTCAACTATTTTGTAAAAATTCTATGTAATAGTATGCCAATATTGAAAGAAACAATCAATCTGATAAAAAAAATGGCTGCGACTTGTTTTGAAACTGAGGCGTAAAGGTTACCAGATATTCCGTTTGGCGTCAGTTGTACCATTATTGGTGACTTTAGCGTTTGCGCCGGCAAAACGGAAAAGTACCGTTATTTCTTATAATATTTTCTAATTTTTAACACTGCAAAAAAGATATTGTTTCACTATGCACATTTCCTGAAAAATACATATTTTGTCATTAAACTGTAGGCACAAGTTTTGTGCATTAACAATCCAGTGAAATAATGCAGAGTTGCATCTTGAATAACTTAGTCTGTTTCTTACTAAACAAGAAGTCTCCATGTAGCATTACTTTCTACTGGAATATCATCATAACAAATATTTTTTTTCCCTGTACCATTTGGCACTTCTACTTTCAGCAGTTTGTTTTAAGTATGGTTTTGAATTTTAATTCTGAAACTTGTAAGTCTATCATACCTTTATCTTAAAACTATTTTAGGTATTAAATTGAAATCCTAATTGAAGATTTTTTAATGGTAAACTTTTCTGAGGTGTTAAGACTGTAACTTTAAGCTTATAGATTGCAGCCTTTTATAATTTGATTTTCCTTATCAGCTGATAAAGATGAAAATTAATTATGATTAAGATGATTGAAATTCAAGACGCATATCCTCGGATTCCAGAAAATTCTCCGAATCCATCAATACCATACTCATCTTTGTACGACTTTAATCGGCCGAGATATTAAATTAAAAACTGCGGAAACGTTAATTTCCGCACTCATTCTTCCGAGTGGCAACAATAAACTATCGGTGACACACACTTAAGCCGCTTATATATATAAAGATGTGTGTGTAAAAATTACAGAGTATATGTATTAAAAACATAAACATAGTATTTATTAATTTAACTATCATAATTTATTACAAGTTTAATTATTTTACTATCATAATTTATTACTAGTTAATTAATGTGGTAAAAGTTTAGCCCGTTTATTGTTCTTTTTTGACGCCAAAATTGGTGCCAGGAAGGTACAATTTCAAGATGGCCGCTACACAAAACCAAAATAAGAAGTCAAAGAATTGCACAAGATCTGTGTCCGTGTACACAGCGATCTGTTTTTACTTAAAGGATGTTTTATCCTAGAATTGGACAAACTAGGCATTGCGCACTGCTTTAAATATGTCCATGTACACATCAATCTATTTTCATTTAAATAAAATCGGGAAGCTAAAACAAAGTTAAAACCATCGTGGTAACCAGAATGAGTTTCATTGCCAAATTTAAAAAAAAAATTCGCCAAAGGGTCAAATTCTACCTGAGCCATTATGCTAGTAACACATGACACACTGTTTTTTTAAGTATTTCTAAGAATTTATTACAGTGAGAACCTCCCTAAAGTATGGTGATTTCCGGTTATGTTTTTACCACCAATCCTCGAATTCCATATCACAGATTATGTTCTTACTGCATTAATATAAATATTAACAAGACATAGTGCACAATAAAAATTAAGCTTTATTTAGGAACATCGCGCATACTCCCCGACAGCCTGCCTGTTTCGCTCTGCTCGCTACTCGTAAGAAACTTCTCCTCTAGGGTTGCCACACTTATCGGAGGGCGCAAGGCGCGCTCCTTATCGCCATCACCACAGAGTTTCCCCCCAGTTCCTTTAATGGCTATTCAAAGGAACGACATAGGTTATGAAATTATCTCAGAGTATCCGTACTGTCGGGTATTTTTACATGATTACAAAATTAGAATATAAAATTAGAAAAGATCAAAATGCAATTCAATATATAACAAGGTATTGACACATATAATAAACATGAAATAACAAGAAATATGTTAAGATATGAATTTAAAAAAAATGTTTTAAATTGTTATGTAAGAAGCAAGTTTCTTAGGGAAGTGAACATGTCTTCCCGATCTGGTGACAGTTTGTGTCTTAGAGAGTTCGTTTGCAGATTTATTCTGCTGAACTGTCTTTAAGTCTTTATTTGTTTTCAGTTCAGGCAAATTAGAGTCCGAAAGCAAATAGGCTGGTTTCACACGGTCTATAGACACAGTAGATTTCAGACCGTTAATATCAATTGTGAAAGTTTTGTCCGTTCTAGAAAGGACTTTATGCGGACCTGTATATGGTTGGCACAGAGGTGGCTTTACTCGATCGACACGTAAGTATACATGCGTACACGACTTTAAGGTAGCACTTACGTAACATTTTTCTTGGCAATGTGCAGATGTTGCTATTGGATTCAATTGTTGCATTCTATGCCTAAGATTCGTGATAAATTGTGTGTCATACGGAGATATCTTAGATGACGTTATCATATCACTAGGCAGCTTGAGAGTTGTGCCGTACACCAGTTCAGCACAAGATGACTGTAGATCTTCCTTTACGGCTGTCCGAATACCAAGCATAACAACTGGTAGTGTTTCAGTCCAGTTATTGGTCTCGTGAGCCTTGAGAGAAGATTTTAAATGTCGATGAAATCGTTCAACAATGCCGTTTGACATTGGATGATAGGCTGTTGTTGTGATTCTGTTCGTACCCAAAATGCGCGTGAATTCTGCAAAAAGTGCGGATCTCATTTGAGAACCTTGGTCTGTTGTTATGATCGATGGGCAGCCAAAACGAGATATCCAACAGTTGAAGATGGCTCTGCAAATGGTTTCCGTTTTCATATCCGGGATGGGAATGGCTTCAGGCCATCTGGAGAATCTATCTATTAGAGTCAAAAGGTACACATTGCCTTCTGATGGAGGTAACGGTCCGACGATATCCATATGGATTTCTGAAAAACGTGCATCAGGAAGAGAGAATGTGCCCAGTGGTGCTTTTAGTATGCCTAGTAATTTTCGATTTTTGGCAAGATTCACAGGATTTCACCCAATTTTTGATATGACGTTTCATATCGGGCCATACATAACGAGAACAAATAAGCTTCGTAGTAGCTGCAATTCCTGGATGTGACAGATTATGCAGATGATTAAAGATGAGTCTGCGAAAGGAATTCGGAACAAATGGACGAGGAATGTCTGTTGATATGTCACAAAGAATATTACCATCAGAATATTGGCACGGTTTAAATTCCAGTTTCAAAGATGATGTGTTGTTTTTGAGAAGGTCTTGTACCTCCGGATCATGCCGTTGAGCTTCCGAAAATTTTTTAAAATCCAAAAATGGAGATTTTGTTATGGAATCAATTTCGATTCTTGAAAGAGCGTCAGCAACGACGTTTTTTGAACCTTGCACATGCCTAATATCAGTAGAGTACTGAGAAATAAAATCTAAATGGCGCAATTGTCGAGGTGAACATTTATGAGGGTTCTGTTTAAAAGCGTATATTAACGGTTTTTGATCCGTATAAATTATAAAATTTCTGCCCTCTAACATGTGTCGGAATTTCTTAATTGCAGAATAAATAGAAAATAATTCCCTATCGTACGCGGACCATTTCTGTTGACTTTTATTGAGTTTCATAGAGAAAAATGCTATAGGTTCCCATGTTTGTTGAGACAAACTGCATAAGTGTGCCGCCGATTGCGACGTCTGAGGCATCTACCCAGATGCTTAGCTGGGCTCCGGGAATAGGGTGTCTCAAAAGGGTAGCCTGAGCAATGGCATTTTTGGCAGCAATAAAGGCTTGTTCAGCATTCTCGTTCCAATTTAATTGTGGGGATGAATCCTGAACACGAGAACGAGATTTCTTTTTATTAATATAGCCTTCTAACAATTTTATTAAAGGAGAAAGAATATGTGCTGCTTTAGGTATGAAACATCTATAAAAGTTAAACATGCCTAAAAATCGGCGAAGCTGAGTGAGAGTGGTAGGTTGAGGAAAATCTAAAATACATTTGACTTTGTCAGGAAGAGGTTCAATTCCGTTTTCACTAAGGTGAAAACCTAAGAAATCAATAGATGTTTGACCAAAGGTGCATTTTGAAACATTTATGCAAAGTCCATATTCCTGAAGTTTGGAAAATAAAGCTTTCAAATGCCTGCAATGTTCCTCAGAATCTTTAGAGGCTATGAGCAAGTCATCGACAAAAGCGTAAACGCCTTCTAAATCCCGCGTGACTTCATCTATAAAACGTTGAAAAGTCGCAGATGCATTGCATAAGCCGAATTGCATACGGGTACTTTCGAATAAACCGAATGGTGTGCATATGGCGGTTTTGTGGATGTC